GGTGTCATAAATAGAAGACGAGTTCACAGCACCTGTCCTGTTTCTAGAGCCAAGAATCACTGAGGCACTAATAAAACGTCTCTACATTCTATTTGGTAAGCGTCTAATAAGGAGCTACAAGTTCAGCACCGGGAGTCAGGACCACGAGTAAAACACAAAAACACGTCAGCACATCGGCCTGCAGACCAGACATCAGAATCCACCAATCGCTGATACGAGAACCCAAACGTAGTAAAATCAGTAACACGTGGACGGTGTGACTGGCCAGCGTGGCCCCGCCGGGCACCAGCGGAGGTCACCGTGGGGGTGCGGCCGTGACGGCGCCGGTCCGTGCCGGGGACGGTAGCGCGCGGCACCGGGCCCCGCCTGGCGACAGCTCCGACACCGTTACCGTGCTCCGTGAGCGGCCAGGACCGGCCGGTAACGGGACGGCCCGGTGCTGCCGGTGGCGTCCCGAGTCCCGACCGGGGTGCCGCCAAGGCCGCGCCGGTCACCGCCGCCAGCGACAGCCCCGGCGGCACACCGGCCGCGCCGCTCCCCCGACACACCGACCCGGCCAAACGCCGCATATCGACACCGCACAAGCCGAGGACGCGGGCTCAACATTAATGCGTGTTCAAAGAAAACTGTCAGCCATGCCATGACCGGTTATCGCATGCTCTCATAATGATACTGCAATCAAGAGCAGCAAACAATAATTTCCGTTCGTTTTATCGCAACTCATGAAGGGTGCGGCAGGATAAGGGCAGCGCGGCAATGTGACGCTATCAGCCTGATTGATAGCACCAATTGACGGGTGTCCACGCCCGCTACCAGAGCCTTTCTGCAGCGGGTCGTTACCATCAGCTCCGAATCGTTACAGTAGCTTCGAGACTCTCAATTTATACGGCAACTCCCTTTCTTTGCTCACATTACTGCAATAGTCCCTTCAGACAATCTGGCAACACGGCTGCTCCAATGCTTCAGCTCTCAGCTCGGCTTCCCTAAAACTTCAATGGTCTTCTACTTGAATATGCTAATTTATTTACTAGCGACGCCGTTTGACGGTTTGCCAAAAAGAGCTAAGAATATCCAAAAGGCTCACAGCAGTGAGGTAAATGGCACCAGCACAATGCACCTGAGTCAGCGCTAGTCGCCGGCCTTCTCTTTTTCCGCGACAAGGCCACCTAGTCTGTCTGGGAAGCCACCAACTGGGCAGGATGGGTCGGGTGAGTAATTTTCAGGTGGCGTGGGGGTCGAGCGGGACAAACTGTCCGATCACCGTGACCCGCCAGGGCCCGGTGATTAGAGCCCGGCCTTGCCAGCCACTACACACAGCCCGACCGGTTACCAGGCCAGGAAAACGACACAGTCCGCCAGCGCCGGCCGCCGGTGCCGGCCAGACACCGGTCGCCAGTGCCGAGTACATTGGTATGCATCCGCCAAGGACGTTCTCCTGAGACCCAGACCTCTCGGAAAGCCCCAGGGTGGGGGTGTCAGCGGTGAAGGACTGCAGATGACTGCACTCATACTCATTGATAGTTCCGCCTGAGATGGCATCATCTGACTGCCTTGGACTGCTTCTTTCACCGAGGAAATCATTCCACCCAAAATGAGCAATATACCCACGAAATACACAAAGAAACAAATAAAATCATTTTGAAATGCACCCTGGCAGTATGGAATGTTGGAACGAGGTGTCTAGGCCAGGCGGGACAGCTGTTGCAATGCTAGCTGAGGTTAAGCTAGCTGAGATCAGAACTGACGTAACGGGTTGAACTGAAATCACCATGACGTCACCAGCGACGAACAACGACGCCCCCGTGAAGCAGAGCCGGATCCGCTGCAAGCGGTACATTTTGCAAGGAGCTGGACCGCAGCCGAAACCGTAAAAATGACGGCCCCAAAAAAGTGCAATATTCATAAATTCGAATAAGCGTGCTGCGCACGTTAATGAAATCGCATGTTGTTGAATGCAAACACTTTTTTAAACCGAATTTCTACTAGAAATATGCAAGATGTCAAGGCCGACTTATCCGCAAAAAGTCAAAAAAAAAATCTTTCAACGGTTATCCAGGAGAAATGATCTATGGTACAAGCTTACGTTTTTTTTTTAACATTCGTTGGCATACGTTTTCAGCAATTTCTGACGAACCCATAAACTAGCTCAGTCAAGCATATACCACTCCGTTAGCAATTATCCTCTGTCATCGTCTCCATTATTATTATCCTCTAAAAGTTGACCCAATATTTGGATCGACGCACATCAAAAACAAAGGAAGCTATTACGCTACAAATCAGCATATATAATGAAATAAGCATTTATCAGCATGACAGGCACCAACTTTCTCGGAATGATTAAGACCGTCGTGTTGGTGTTGGATTCCACATCATTCCAAACGCCAGCCTCCACCACTAGCTGGCTGCATGCGACTCGCTGACTGCAGACTACCGAGAATTATCGGGCCTCGCGCCGCGACTGAGCCCCTGTGACGAGCGCTCCGTTCCGAGCACCCCTCTCTCTCCCCCGGGGGAGGACTGGGAAGGAGGGTGGTATGCACGGCCGGCGCTGACGCTGTGTACGGAGCCGACCGCGCGCTGGCCAGCCGCCAGCGGCATCAACAGGAAGGCGTGCCGGTCGTGACGGGGCGCCGTGCGCGCTCACGGGCCGCCGCCGTGATCTGATGTAAGGTCAGAGGCCAGCCAACTCACGGACGGGGGCGGCCAGTCGGAACACCGCGGCCGGCCACCGCGCGCCACATCCGGTACACGTCGCGCTAGTTAAACCCTTGTTAGGTCTCCCGTTCAATTACAGGATGTGCTCATCCCATCTACAGTCAGGATTGCATTGACTTCTCCCTCACAATCGGGTAACTAGTTGGGACGAGTGGTCTGCGCAGGCCCCGGGCCTAGCCGAGCTTCGCTTCAGCCCGAGCTCGGGGCCGGCTGAAGAAATGAAACAGCATCCCGCTGCCAAAGTGATAATCCATTCCTCCAAAACTGACCGTGGCTCGAAAACCTTTTTAAACCTCACCCGTATTGGTGTTTCGTCAGCCGCTAACGTATAAGGGGAGGGGGGAGGGTTGGACCCTCTTGCCGATTGGCCCCTGATCGAGCTAGAGCTTCGCAGAAAAAAGCGTTGCCCGTGACGTGAGGAAGCCGATGATACCCAATTTTAAGAGCCTAAGTCATTGGTTGACCTTTCAGGTCAGGTCAATTACCTACCTAAAGGTTGGGAAAATCGGCACCTGCAAGAACTTCGTAAAGAGAAGCTGTTGTGAGGTTTTTCGGGGCGCTGATCACGAATATCATGTTAGTTTTAATCACAGATGAAATCTTCATGCATTTATGCCAGAGATCGGGTCAGGTCGGGTCAACCAGTAGGGGTCCTGCCGGGTATTCGTAGTAGGTGTCAACCGCCTCTGACAGCTTCGTAACATGTTACGAAGACACCAAAACTAATTCGTAAATGATCTAATGGTTGCTAAATTCAAATTCAGCTCCAAAAACTAGCCTAGAAACATGTAAGACTCGAAAAAACAAGATCACCAAAGATCAATGACCTGACCTGACGTTCAGGTGACCTTGACACCTACCCTAAGGCATGGGACCAGCATTATGTCACATGTTTGAACACTTAAAACTACGAAAAGACTGCAAGTGGCAAGTAATGCGAACCGACATACGCCGAATCGCGATTCAGGCCAAACATGGTCTCGAAAAGTAGGTAATAGGTCAAATGTCATTGGGTCACGGTCATGCAATTATCAGGGTAGGTGTAAAATTGAATAACGCGAGGGTACCGAAAGTTTCGTTGCGATCGGCCGCTTTTTACGCGACTTATTCGCAAAAAAACCGAGGGGGTCCGTTCGACCCCCCCCCCCCCCTATGCGTGCTCCGCTGAACGGACGGTGAAACTACAACAATGAGGCGAAAACAGTATCCCGGTAGTGATAAGACACACTGGCAGACATAGTTCATGCGAACAGACAGTTTATCCAGACCATTTAAGGCTGGCACTTCTGTCACCTTTGCTCATCCTTGATCTTTTTTCTGTTTTGTCAATTCTTTTTTCACCTAATATTGAGTGAGACCTGACACACTTGCAAAAAAAAAATCAAGGATTGCATGCTCTTTGCTGAGCCCTAATGAGAAAATGTTTTGTCTAAATGTCTGCTTAGATCCTGCAAATGATCTAAGCAGACATCTCAGACATCCTTTCATCTCAGGCCATGGATGAGAAACACCACATAAGCAATTGTCTGGATGAAGAATACCTTTCACTTTATGGATGAGAAATGCATCTCTCTTCTATGCCTTGTCTGGTTTGACAGGTTGTATGTTGCAGTACAGTCAGCTGATCCCATTGTTTGGGTATAATAACAAGGATGTCAGCATAATGTGTCACTAACAAACCAATTCTTATGTTGTTGACTTTCTTACTATGCAAACCCATGCTTTTCACACCAGCACTTGGTAGGTAGACTGTTTTGTGTCATGTGGCATATTATTAGTGAACTGTGAAGATACTCAATAATGAAAAAATAACTGGAAGCTTTGAATGTAAAAAATTAAAATGGCTTTCCATGTCAAACCAAAAGCTAAGAGGGCTATATATAACAAGAGCTCATATTTGATGAGTTGAATCTTAATCATAGAGAGGCAGAAGTAAAAGAAAGGTAAAGTGATGCATTGAAAATGGAATACACTTTAGGCTAAAAGTAACCATCAAAACTAGGTACCTAATGGCTACAAGGAGCTCTTGACAAAGTTTAGTTTAAATGTAAAATAATGGTACCCTTATCTCTAGATAAAATGAAAATCACCTGAGAAATATATATAACTTTCAAGTCTCAAGATGGATAAAGCATATAAACACCATCTATGCAAATATCTCAGTGGTTACTGGTTAGTGCATACAAAGTCTTCACTTTCTACCACTATCAGTGCAACAACACCAAATGCCCAAGATGGAATGGGTTCTGACTCTAATAAGGTGAATGTTAGTATATCCAACTTACCTTTCCATGGTGGTAAGTATCTTCAATGGTGATAGTCTTTCAGTAGGAACTTAGGGTATGACTTAAGGGGTAGAATAGTGTATATTCTTAAAGGAAGAGTTCAGAGGATAGATGGAATAGTGAAACCCAAATTGTATAGAAAATTATGTCTTAACTTTCTTTATTTGAATAAACAAAACTAATATAGCATACTAAGGGTATGCATCTCGCATCTGTCAATCACAGTAATGGCAATGAGGGGATTACTCTATTAATAAACTTATCAAAGCAATGCAAGAGCTAAATTCAGGGTCAGGCTAGGCTCAGAATATTTCCATCGAAACTAATAACAGTTCAATGGTTCATTTGTCATAAAGTGGATCCCGAGATACAAATCGGAAGTGAATTACACTACCAGGAGCCCACAGGAAGTTGCAAAACACAACAATGTCACAATTTCTTATCAATCCTCAATACATTCCTTGTCCTGGTAACCAAAAGGGTATCTACAATGAGAAAACAGCTGTAGGATAGGGTGATTTCAGGACGGGTGTCGACTTGAGTAGCGCTGTATGAAGATTGCAGTGGAGGAGACCCAGCTTCAGCTGTGGAACAAAGAACAGCGGGCATTAATTTACAAATACAATGCACAGCAAGTCCCAATGAGTTGCAAAATGGTAACAAATGTCCTGAATTCAACTCAACTCACCAGAATCGACCTACGATCAGCGATCAGCTGGCCTCCAAGCGCACTCGGCTCGGCCCAAATCCAACCAATAGGACCGGTTTCCTGTCAAGAAATACCAATGAATGGAGCATCGATCGTGAATCTGTCGAAAAATTGAGCTTTATAATGACGTAACTAAGAAGCAAAGGATTGTAAATAATCCATAGCTGACAGTTTTTTGACGTCAGAATAGCTTCTTCTTAGTATTTTCTATTTCAACATGCTCGAAGTACACAGTTCCTAAACGTCTCTCGCACGTCGTTAATGTCGCAAAATTGCTGCCATTTTTTCTGCAATATTTTCTTTTGTAAGCAAAGTTTAGCAGACGTTTCTTTGAATTTGTGGGGTGGGACTAAATGCTTACTTCGAAATCTAAGCTACGTTGCAGCATTGGCGGTTATGTGCGGCGTGTATGCCGCATGATTAGTAAGCGGCGACCACTAAATTAAAGACTCAAACGCTCCGACCGGTTCTCAATGAATAACACTGCATACCAAAAATGCCAACCGCTCTCGTCATAAGATATTCAGCTTTAAATAGCTTTATAAAAGAATTTGAATAGGCTCTGGCATGCGATTTCCTGGCTACCCAAAAAAGTCTGTTTCTGTCTTGCTATCAAAACATGACCTCGCCCGCAACCCCCCTAAGGTTTTTCGCGAATAACTCGCTTAAAAACCGGCTGATCGCGACGAAACTTTCAGTACCCTCGCATTGATCAATTTAACACCCATCCTGAAAATTTCATGACCCTGACCCAAATGACCTTTGACCTGTGACCTACTTTTCGAGACCATGTTTGGCCGGAACCGCGATTCAGCGTATGTCGGCTCGCATTAGCAGCGCGTTTGCAGTCTTTTCGTGGTTTCAAGCATTCAAACATGTGATATGATGTTGCCCCCATGCATTAGGGTGGGTGTCAACTGTCAACTGTCAAGGTCACCTGAAGGTCAGGTCAGGTCATTGATCTTTGGTGACCTCGGTTCACTTTTTCGAGTTTGACATGTTTCTAGGTCAGTTTTTTTCGAGCTGAATTCGAATTAAGCAACCACATGAACGTTTACAAAGTAGTTTTGGTGCCTTCGTAACATGTTACGAGGCTGTCAGAGGCGGTTGACACCTACTACAAATACCTGGCAGGACCTCTACTGGTTGACCTGACCTGACCTAACCCGACCTGGCCTAAATGAATGAAGACATCATCTGTGATCAAAACTGGCATGATATTCGTGATCAGCACCCCGAAAAACCCCATAGCAGCCACACTACGACGTTCTAACAGGTCCCAATTTTCCCGCCTTTTGGGTCATTGACCTGACCTGGAAGGTCAACCGATGACCTAGGACCTTAAAATTGGGTATCATCGGCTTTCTCTCGTCACGGGCAACACGCTCGTTTTTTCCGCGAAGCTCTAGCTTGATCAGGAGCGAAACGGCAAGGGGTTATACCTTATACGTTCGCGGCTGAGTATTAATTTGGTTCAAAACAATGATGTAGATAAGTTAGTTATTTAAATCTAAATATCCTATGACGAGAGCGATGGACATTTTTGGTATGCAGTGTTATCCATTGAAAACAGGTCAAAGCTATTGAATTTTTAATTTAGTGGTCGCCGCTTACTAATCATGCGGCATACACGCCGCACATAACCGCCAATGCCGCAACGCAGCTTAGATTTCGAAGTAAGCATTTAGTCTCACCCGAATTTGTGATAAATTATTTTTTCACGTTGTTCTTGTTTTGTTCATCAAAATGTTTCTTATCTTTAAATTAAAAAATAGAGGAATCATAGATGAAAATTAAGATGAGATAAAGGATTAATGAGATGAGTAAGGATTAAGATGAAGGTAATTTCTCGCAAAGCAGTCTACACTTCTCGCTGCGAAGCTGCAAAAAGCATGTAATCGTTTTTTAACGTCGGAAGGAGAGCGAATTTTCATTTGTATTAGGTCATGTTGTGAGATTTAAATATAAAACAAAGCGAGTATTCTAATGGTGAGAATTTCCCTTCAAAGCAAAGTATTATCCTTCAGATATGCTTCTGCTGCGCTGTTATTGTATTTTCCATTCTATATATAAATGTTTTTTGGCATTTTTTTCCAGTTTTTATGCCAAAAACCAAAACCGGTGTGGTGATGGTGGGCTGTCTTTTGAAAATTTGCATTTGCAAGACAATCTAGTCATTTTCTGGCAGGATTCTTGTGCATTTACACATTTTTCAGCCATTATATAGGTACTAGCAAGGAAGGCAGGTATATTTCGTAGAAAGTGTTTCTGATACAATACTTCTCTTTTTTTGTCGGCGGAATTGGAATGTCAGGTCTTCAACATAAAATTGTATCATTTTTTTACTTCTATAAGTCTGCTTAACCTTTTTCAACAACTAGAGTGAAAGACTTTATTTCCCAGCCAAAATTGAGTGAGAGTCCGAAAATCCTAAATGAACCTAAAAATGACCAGTCCAAATATGCTTTGACCTTAAAGTAATTGGCCTGCATGCCAGTGGTTTTGTTAGTCTCCCCTATGCCTGGGTTACAGCAGAACCCACACAATTTATCAGACCACCAGCGCTGACATAGTCTGTCGTGACCACTGCAGACTCCTTGAGACCCAAGAGCTCACTGAATTACATGGTGAAGCTCCAACAATGTTTTTTATTTCCTCATCTATCTCTTCTGCTCTGTTATGTCTGTCAGCAAGCCAAATCCACTCTGCACTACACTAAATCTGGAACTGCACCAAGCCAAATCAACACCCTGTTTACTGTTACACTAAATCTGCACCCCACCAAGTGAAATCCACACCACACCTAATCCGCGCCAGCCAAGTAAGCCTGCACGTACAGGATCTTGTCAAAATTGTGATACTTTGCAGACTTATGGTCTAGTAGCTGTGATATTAGGTGGGGACTAGTCACTAGGGAGGTGTCATTGATGACATTTTATGTAAGTTGCTATCTAGCCAGCAATGCTTCAGTTTTACATTTTTTCAATTATATTTCAAGAATTTAAATGCTCAAATATACACTGTGTGGCACAAACTGCCCATCACTCAACAATGTAGATACCTATCTGGTGTGTGGTCCTTCTGTGCTACCTTGGTTCAAACCATCAAATGAATGCAGGAGAGCAAAAGCCTTACATTGTAGGTAGATCAAAATGGGAATATTGTTCTGGCCTGACTGCAAAGCATGTGTCAGCAGACTTAATAATCTGCAGTGTGCACCAGCTAGGATGATGAGTTGGCACCAGACCGCACCAGCTGGGCTGCAAAGTTGCACTAGTGAACACCAAAAAGTCCTACAAATTTATTTTGAAAAATAAAAATATTCGTCTCTTGCATCATTTTCACCAGAACAATTCTTTGGCACAATGCCTTTTTAGGGCTTGCACCACTCCACCCAAAATCAACATTGCACCAGCCATATCCCCACAGGGCCACACACTAGCTGAGTTCTGACTCCCAGCACCTGCATGCAAGATTAACATTTTGCTGACATTGTCATGTTTTGCTGTCTGGCCTCCTGGGCCCTGTTTCACCGGTGATAGCAGCACGCTGCTTTTATGTACACGTGTCAAATTGGGTTTCCATGGAAACATCAACAGGCCGTTGCTCCAACACTACCACAAGTGTGACGTCAGCTCGCGCAATTTGATAGCAGCGTGGTAGCAGCGTCCCGTGAAACACCGCCCTGTGTCTCTAAGGGTCTCAGTTGTCAGCCTTTGGCTTAAGTTGGTACCATTTATTGTTCTGGCCTTTTGTTTGATTTCCTATTGTAATGTCTATTGCTGACATTTTCTGTTTCAGATGTTTAATTTGTCTCATTGCTTGTGATGGAATTGATGGACAACTATGAAGTGCCAAGCCTTTGATCACCATGGAAATTGCAGGCCAGTTATGCTTCACCTAATTGGTAAGATTACCTACCTTATTTTTTATTTGTGGACAAACATGTTTCCAGCCACGTTTAACCCTCGCACTTGTAGGTGGCGGGTCGGATGGACCCCCGCCCCCCCCCTCGGTTTTTCGCGAGTAACTCGCGCAAAGAGCGGCCGATAGCGACGAAAGTTTAATTACTCTCGAGTTGATCAATTTTACACCCACCCCGAAAATTGCATGACCTGGACCCAAATGACCTATGTCCTGTGACCTTTTTCTCGAGACCACGTTTGGCCGGAATAGCGAATTTTTGCAATTGTAAACGTTCAAACATGTGAAATGATGTTGGTCCCATGCATTGTGGTGGTTTTCGACGTCACTTGAAGGTCAGGTCAAGGTCATTGACCTTTGATGACCTTGGCTCTTTTTTTTAGTTTTCATGCTTCTACATGTGCTAGTTTTTTTGTGCTGATTTTGAATTAACCCTGCCCCCCCCCCCCCAAGATCTCGAGAACCACGCAACATAGCGACAAGCGGCAAAGGGCGTTGGATAGCCCCATCAAGGAACTACCTTGTGACCCAATTTCATTGACCTAGGTCAAACCGATGACGTCACAGCTCAGGTTAAAGGTCGAATTTTCACCATTTATAGGCTTGTAAATTCGAGTAAAATGCATTTCATTGAAAAGCATCGGTGGGGAAATGTTCGTCAAACACATATTTTGCTACTTGAGGTCACTGATACCAGGTCAGGTCACAGAGGTCAGGTCACTGAGGGTCACGAATTAAAAATATCATGTGATGCATGTTTTATGGTCCATTTTATGTCAAATACGATTATGTGGGTCAGGCAGCCTTTGGGGTCAGTTTAGTTTATGTTTTGGTGAAGGTCAGCCGTCAGGTCAAGGTCAGGTCAAATTAGGTCAAATTTCAAAGTTGATATTTTTGCATAAAATGGGTATCGATTCGATGCAGCTCGTCACGGGGAGTTCAACGGTGGTCTTTGTTTTGCACTACGTGGTCTATAATTGCTAAAAATTGAGTTAAAAATTTGACGTCATCAATTTTGAACACTTTTTTCGCTATAACTTGGCCAAAAAAGGAGGTATCGATCTGAAATTTTGTATGTATATAGAAGAGCGCAGGGACTATCACATATATTCCGGTTTTTCGATATTCGGAAAAAATTGGGATTTTTTTGCGTTTTTCTAAAAAAAAACTCAATTTTCTGAATTTTGGGGGTCAAAAACCCAATTTTTTTTTAATCCGAGATAGCAGTTTTGTAGCGCCGCCTCTTGTCTACATAACCATATAAATAATTTTGAAATTGCTTGTTAACTGTGGATTTTGTGAGCGTTTCAAGATTTCATGTTTTTTGCTCATTTTTGCTCGAACATGACCTCAGTTTGACCTCAATAACTCCTGACCTAAGGTGCCCTAAGACTTGAAATTTTGTGTGAAGGTGTCAAATTGATGGCCAGGAAGTTTCTGAAAATTTGGCGGCGCTGCGCGCCGCCGTTTTCTTGCTATTCAGGAAAAAAACACAGGGGGGCCAAACTGCCCCCCCCCCCCCAGCGGGGCGAGGGTTAACCATTCAGTTGAATATTTACGAAGTAGTTTTAGTGCCTTCGTAACATGTTACGAGTACGACGCCGTCAGTGGCGGTTGACACCTACGATGGATAGCCGGCAGAATGCCTACTAATTGACCTTACCTGACCTGACCCGACCTGGCTTAAATGCATGAAGACATCATTTGTGATCAAAACTTACATGAAATTCCTGGTCAGCACCCCGAAAAAAAAAACATGAAAGCTTCACTTTACGAAGTTCTTGCAGGTTCCGATTTTCCCTACTTTGGGGTCATTGACCTGACCTGGAAGGTCAACGAATGACCTAGGGCTTTAAATTTGGGTATCATCAGCTTCCTCTCGTCACGGGCAGCACGCTTGTTTTTTTTCTGCGAAGCTCTAGCTCGATGAGGGGCCGAACGGCAGGGGTCCAACCACCTCCCCCCCCCCCCCGCCCCTACACGTTGGACTATGGAAAACGCCGCGCACAGGCGAGGTTATAATGGAATTTGTCAGTCCTATAAACCATACACAGACTACAGTATACACATGCACCATGAAGTGGATAAATGAATAAAAGCAATTATGTTTGGGAAGTATAAATTTATAGTTGTTGAAGTATCGATTCAATCAAGTAATCTGAATAGTCTGCAGTTGAACAAATGACTAGTCCTCTGGTCTTCAGGTTTGCCTCTTCTACATGTTGTATGTAGGTACCATAGAAGCTCTCTCTCTCTCTCTCTCTCTCTCTCTCTCTCTCTCTCTCTCTCTCTCTCTCTCTCTCTCTCTCTCTCTCTCTCTCTCTCTCTCTCTCTCTCTCTTTTATGTCCAATTTTATTTATTTATTATTATTAATTTTATGTCCATGACTCAAATGATTTCTGACCTGTGACCTCTTTCTCGAAATATGTCAAGCCAGGATGGCGATTAGACATGTATGTCAATGCCTACATTCTAGGCGTATTTCTAAGTCATTTATTATAAGAAACCTGCCAACTTGTGAAGTGGTGTTTGTCCCGTGGAGTACAGTACCTTGGGTGTTAAGGTCGTGTGAAGGTCGGGTCAAGGTCGAATTGACCTCTGCTGACACTGGTTAAAGGGACTATCCCACCTTTAACATGGGGTTTGAGTTGAGATAGCCAAGTTTGCGGCGAGGTTCAGAAACCACTATCTATCTAGGTTGCAACCTCCGCGGCCTCTTGGTGTTGAAGAAATTCGTTCCCTTCATTTGAAAATGGGCCTTGTACAAGGCCCTATCTTCAACATGGAGCGACCGTTAGTGTGACGTCACCTCGTTTAGTCATTCTGATTTAAATGGGTTTGTTCGTTGAAAAATCGCTTAAAACTTGGTCTGAACTTTGTTGTGGTGCCTACAGAGTAAAAAGAATCAGCTTTATGACAGTAATGTGGCCTGGGGAAGGAGGTAATTTTGGGCTGTGACGTCACATATTTGAAAGTTTGTGTTTGGAATATGGGAAGCCTAAGATGTTTAATGAAAAATAAATGCCAGAACCGTGTTCCTGGTCATCCAATCTATAAAGTCGGGCACGATTTAACTGGTTTTAACAACATTTTAGAAGGTGGGATAGTCCCTTTAACTTTTAGGAGCAATTACAACTTCTAAGGATAGTTTTTGAGCCCATGGAACATGTTGCGGTGCTATCACTGTGGATATGAATAGGTACTTATAAAGAATATCCTGGTCCCGATTTTCCCGAAATTGGGGTCATTGACCTGACCGGTAAACCAATGATCTAAAATCGTAAAATTGAATGCCGCTGGCTTTCTCTCTTCACGAGCAGTACGCTCTTTTTTTCTTTTTTTTTTTTTTAGCAAAGCCAGAGCTCAATCAGGGACCGAACGGCTCGGGTCCGCCGTCCGGTCGACCCCCCCCCCCCCATCCCCCATGCGTTGGCCGCGCTGTGAAACACCAACACGGGCGAATGCTAAGGCACGAATTCACGTACCACTTGATCCAAACGATGTTCTTTAAGGAACGATCATAGTAGGTATTAGATCATGATCAGGGATCGCCGATATAACAAATTTGAGATTGGTACCTACCTACATATTTGGGGGAGCATCATTTCTCGAATCCTGAACCGCAGTTTTTAGCTCGAACAAAGAAACATGACTTAAGACAAAGTCTGCTTAGAAAGAAGGGGCCGAAATGGGCAGCGGCACCCATTCACTGCACCAGTGCCTTCCCGAGCCACGCGTGGTGCGTGACCGGTCGGCGGTGTCGCGCGCGGTCGGTAGCCGGCCGCCGTCGGCCGTCGGCTCGGCCTACAGCCGGTCGGTGGACGGCGGCCGGTGATCGGGCCAGTAGTACCCGACTGGCAGCGCCGGCGGTGGTCGCTCCGGCAGAGTTCCGCGGTGCGGTGGTACGGTGGAAGCTACGGTAGGAGTTATGATGGGACTCTGTCATACTTGGTGATGGGTTAGTTGAGGTGGTGTTGTAACGTGTATTGTGGACGTCTCAGACTTATTTATATCGTGTCGTGTAGTATCGTGTAGTCACCATTTGTCAATGGGTGGCCGCGGAGTGCCGAGGGGCTTGTTCCGACAGGCATGGTTGAATCCGGGGCTAGTAGTCTGTATTGAACTATGTTCTCAGTTAAAGATCTTGTCCAACCTGTTACTGCACCCATCCAGTTAGTGTGCGACCTTTTGTCCCCCCAACTCTGTCTTTATGTCCCGAATCCCGATCATTGCTTCCTAGCCAACGGAGTCCAGTGAGTGTCCCCGCCCGTCCCAATCGCGACTCTTGGCTCCTTGTCCGGCCCCGATCCACCTTCAATTCCGTGTCCCGCCCTATATCCTCGGACGTAAAGGCTTTCCTCCCAAAGAGTATTCCACTCTGTACTCTACATTTAATTCCGTAGAGCTGTTCGATTGCTTTTTTTTTTTTGCTTGTGCAGTAGGCTGGCCGACAGTCTCTGTGAACTGTGAAGCAAACACCTCGGTTTACCCGGGATGAATCAGTCTTTGTGTGAAACTGACCGTCTCGGATGTCTCGCAGGCATGTAAAGCCGACCGTCTCACTGAACTCTGCAGTCGGCTCTCTGCCAGTTTTGCGGGCCTGCGAGATCGACTTACTAACCGTTTTTGGTTTGTGCTGTCGGTTTAGGCCATTCAATTTATTTAGACCAATTTAGCTATGTGTGATGCTGGGATGTGGTGGCGATACTGCGCTGAGTTTACCACCAACAGGCAACTGGGCTCATGCCATTGGAACGGGAGTGTCCCAGCGGGACATGCCAAGATTGCTTTACTAATAACTAGGACAGGCCGCTCAAACGGTCACCTCGGAGGTTTCTGCTCCTACTGGGGCCGCCGTTCATCAATTGCCTTGTGGGATGGCGTTTAGCCTGGAAAGGGATATATGATCCAGATAGGTAATGTAGATGAATTAGTTTCTGAATATAAAGAGGACGAATGCCGGCCGGCTCGCCGAACTGCGAGGCTGACCGACTCTGCCATTTAGCTGGCTCGGTAGGGCTGGCTGGCTGGAGGGTCGCCTCACTGAACTGTGTAAGATGGACCGGGCGGCCCGTTTCGCGGGCCTGCGCGGCCGTCTGGCCGGTCTCTCGCCGGTCTGTGTGGCCGGCAGTTCGTTACCGTCCGATCGGAGTCGCCAAACCATCAGTTCCCTGCTCCGGGTGAAAAACTCTGGGACATGACGCCATCAATAGTTGGACACCGCGCCGGCCCTGTGCCGGCGGCAGAGTAGAGCTCTTCCCGTCGGCCTCTGCCAGAGCGGTCCCTAATGGACTCATGGGGCGCGAGCTGGCGTCAGCTCACGCCATGATCAAATAATCGCCCTAGCACACAGAAAGCTTCTCGTAAAGCATAACCTTTATCGCACTGCTGACGAAAATGCCGTTGCTGTTATAGTGACGTGGTTGCTGTTCCGTACCCCGCCGTCGCCGGTCCGGCTGCGTCTGTGCGGTGCGTGCGGTTGCCACGCTGCGCTGGTAAGCTGCAGATCGTGACCGCGGTACCGGCCGCGTTCGTCCTGCTCGGTATTCTCGACGATCGCCGATCGGTGCGTCGGCGTGCCTGTCTGTCGGACCGGGTAGGTCCGATCTGCACGGCCCGCTGCCCGTTACCACCCCGTCTCAGGGTGTGGGTATCGCCAGCGCCGCGCCTCGGAGTGAATCCACCCACGGCGTGGGTCAAATGCCGCCCTATCGTTAAACTTCGGTGTGACCTTTCCGTCAAAATCATGATTGAAAATAGCCAAGTCTGAAGTTTTGTTACTAAGAACATTTATCATTTTCAACTGACCTATATCGAGTTCGTGACGTTTTAGGCCCAGTATTGAAGCCAGAACCCTGTGCACAGCTATTCTTGAGTGACACGCAGTAGGCTACCGCTATGTCCGCCCCCTAGTTGGCGTCGGCGCTGTCTCCAAATATCGTATGCTGACGTAGAGACTGATGGGCCATGGCCGACGATCGCCGGCAAATGACACGGTCCGGCAGCGCAACCTTCACTAATTGATGAACACGGACCGGCCTAATGAAGACGAATACGCCACGGCCTGGCACGACACCCCTGCGCCCAAGCCTGCGCCACTCTGCCGTCCTCTGCCGGTGTCAGCGAGCCAGTCTGTCACCAGAGCGCCGCTAGGGGACAATTGGAGTGTTTGTTTGTGTCTTCACATCAAGCAATTAGTTTTGTTTTCGTTGGAGTCACCGTTGTGCTTTTTATTAACAGAATTAGTACATGTGATCTTCAGCGGATAAGATACAGATTGGGAATGAGTACTAACAACGTTTCCGCGCACATTGAATGTGGAGTTTTATGTTTTATATACCCTCCCCCCTCACACACACACACACATACTCACACATGCACATGTTTTGCAGACCTATCCGTTTGTCTTTCTGCTTACAATTAGTGTATTGCGTCCACACCACTGAGCTGTTTTTCTGTCTGTCTGTTTATTTACAACTGACGTAGTATTCCGTCCTCACCGTATGTCTGTCTGTCTGTCTGTCCGCAGAATGCTGATTGGTGCCGCCGCGTACTGCCGTCACTCTGACAATTCGGAGTCAAACGAGGCGTCGCCCAGAGTGAGCGGAGCTCCCTGTGGGCCCGCCGGAGCTAAACTCTGCTCCTCCGTCCACTGACCTCGCCACAAACCACTGCCGACCTCTCCGGGAGCCGTGCCGACCTCTCCGGGAGCCGTGCGGGCCGCGCGTCGCCGCCATGGCCGGCGGAATTCTGTCGTCGAGCGTGGACGACCTGCTGCCCAGTTCAGTCGACGACCTGTGCCGCAACCCGCTCATATGTCCGCTCTGCAATCAGGTGAGGCTGGGGAGGCAGGAGTGCCAGCGGGCCAGCTGGGGCTGCCGACTGCGAGCCGGTGATATGGTGTATGGGTACCGAGAAGTGGCTGTGAAATATGGGAGGGAGGTGGGATGATGGCTTTCATAACGTGACGTGATCGGAAATGCTACAGTTTTAGGTTATAAATTTGTACCGCGGGATTGCAAAACGCGCCAGCTTATTTGTTATGCTTTTGATATTTGAACACACTTTTTGTCGCTTGGTATATTTTTTCCGCTAATGTTTGTCATTAGTTATTTTTGACACGAACAATTTGCACTTGCAAAGATAGGTATTGAATACAATGGCAGGAGTTCCAGCGCTCCAAAAATGCAATGTCCTTATGCAAGACGGTTCTTCGAGTGACTTGTAACGTACTGGCGATGTCTGTTATGTGGTGCTTACCTGCTTACCCCCTATGAATCAGCGGTTTTACCTGCCGCGGTACCACCACCCGCCGGTCCCTTACCCCGGTCTTTCCACTGACCACCGAACACATCTGCGGCAGGTGTACGAGGAGCCATGTCTGCTGGTGTGTTTCCACTCGTTCTGCGCCAAGTGTCTGCGTGTGCGCGTGGTGGACGGCCGCGTCGCCTGTACCGTCTGCAGGTGAGCGGGGGGTGCGAAGGGTGATGTCGGTCCGTGTTATACACATGGGACCGACGGAGATGCGGACACCAAACATTTCGTGTGCACCACTGAATACTCGGTACAGAATGATGCACATTGCACAGGGCTGTTCTGCGGGTTACCGATATCACTAGGTGAGCTGATAGTAAAGATGTGTAAAGTAGGAGCTAATTACAGATCTGCGCTTAGGCATGCTAGCGTGTCAGACACTATTTCAGTTCGTCGCTGCTGTAGCGGGGGTACCGTCCCGTACAGTGATATCCCTCCTAGGGTATGGGGGCTTCGGGGTTTAACGTCGATAGCTCCGGTCCTACCATCTATGACTGCTCGACTTCCGCGTCATTGTTTGCTGTTTTGGGCGGACGCTATTGTTTTACAGTGGGGCCCGAACGGTCTCTATCCGGCCCAGCGTCGTCTTCGGACTCGACTCTCCCTCTGTAAAACGGCCATTCCCGCTATATAGACGTTGTATAGCCGGGAATGGCCGAGGCTCATGTCGGCAGTTTGCGCTGGGGGCCTGCGGCCGTGGGGGTTCTGACGCCCCCCCCCCCCCCCCGTCCTCCCGTGGTTGCAGCAAGACGACGGTGCTCAAAGACGGCAACAGCTTGCCGCCGGCCGACGTCCTGCTGCGCTTCCTGGTCGAGTTCTCCACTGAGGCTCGCACGCCGTGCGCCAACTGCGAGACGACAGAGAACATCAGCATGTTCTTCTGCAACACGTGCGGTAGGTGGTGAGAATGCCTCCAACACTAAGGGAGGGTGGTGAGTTGGGTGTTTGTGGCTACTCCACTCGGTGTTCATATGGCGTGCACTAGGCTTTATGATCTATTTTCCCGTGAGAGAGACGGAACGCTAGCCTAGGGTACATGTCTCTGCCCGGAGAAATTATTGTGAACTGCGGTGGTAAGTTCTTTCACTCTGTACTAATAGCTAGTGCCACGTATACTGTCCCATTGTGTACGGCCATGCGACGGGGCATTGCTCGTATGGCGTGCGTTGCATGTTGTGAGCAGGCAGGTTTATTAGCCGGTCGATACGGGTAGATGCTGGGATTATGGTCCGTGCCGGCTTACAACTGTTTGCGTAAATATTTAACAGTATAAATGGATTTTAACGATGTCCAAAGCATCAACCTAATGGTCCTGCGTTCTGTACTCATTGCTGTCATTTTAAGTTTCATTTGTTGATGTCAATATGTGATAGGATGCTCGGAACAACGTTCCGTGAATTTTATTATTGCGTTTCGTGGTTTAGTGCTTACTATTGGGCTGAACACAGCGGAAAAGTATTCTTTGTTTACAATACTTTAACATGTTTCAACGCTATTATTATTCGAGTGATGTCTTCGCTAAACAGAAGAATATACAAATGTTTCGGTTATTGATCAGCACCACAGTCTATTATTATCCCAAGTTTCTTATTTCCGGTCAGCTCTAGCTCCCAGGATTAGGTATTCCATTGAGAAGCGCCGGAACCCGTCGGCTGATTGTCACTCTCTGCCGCCGTGCGCAGTCAATGCTCGATGGTGCGGCGGTGACCTGCCGTCTGTACAGTGCGCAGTCAATGTCCGGCGGTGCCCGGCCGAGCGGTGACTCGCTGTTACCGACAGCTGCGAGCGGGCCGCAGTGAGGCGAATCAGCGGCACCCATTACCGGCCCGGTCAGAAATAGAGCCGGACGACGGCGGCGTCCATACACTCCTTTCGTCGCAGTTCTCGTCGCCCACTGGTCCGCACCGCTGCACTGCAGGCCGATGGACCGACTGCGTATACCGGATCACTGCCACACAGCGGCTCACCGCTTCTCACCAGGTCACCTCAATGCTTATCAGCTTACCTCACCAACTCACCGCCTCGCACTAACTCACTGCCGTGTCCCGGGTTGAATCTGCAAAGGTGCGGACTGCGGACCAGCGGTGTTGAGACGGAGGCCGGGAGATCGTGTCGGCAGTTTGCACCGGATGCGTGCCGCGGAGGTCCTGACGCCCCCCCCCCCCCTCCTCGCCCGCTGCTTACAGCAAGACGACTGTACTCTGGTGGGAGTCTGCATGAATAGGGTAGTGTGGGGTAATTTGAACATATTTTTATGTCTTCTCCGTTGTACCAAATTCCAGTTCAACCCTGGATGAAGAAAAACTGTTTCAGTAGCGCAAGTGTCACTTGCTTTCACCATGCAAGCCTCATTTTTGGACGAGCCGAGCATACCTTGAATAGCATAGCCTCACTTCTCCACCAAGTCAAGGTGTGTTCAAATTGCCCCACCGTGGGGTAATTTGAACATACTGCCTTTACCTGTCATAAAAACGATAGTCTCGCCAGCACCGATGTTGTTTGACCCATAAACAAATAGGCAGAACAATTCTAAACATACCTTCACTTGAAAAATCAACACAACAGCAAAAATAACAGTTGCAGAGTATCAATATCTGCACGCTGCACACCGGTCAGTTGACAGAATTCGCCCCTCTTCAATTAACAGAACGTCTATCATTTTTGTTCGATAAAAACTCTCCCAACCTTACTACATCTGTTAAAGTGGTGCCAATCGAAACCTGGACATTTGGAGTTCTGATTTTGTCCAATGTCCAATTCGGAATTGGTTGGACAAAGGTAGCAGACTGGACAACATTGGACGATGGCTTGCTACACTTCAGCGCTTTTTATAAAGTAATCGTGCATAGCATTGATTGGCGAATGGAAAGCTTGTTAAGCTCTCAATATAATGAACACTTTTCGGCTGGTAAAATTACATGATAAGCAATATAAATGACGGTTTTGAGTGTTGATAGCTGCATAATATTCGGACATATTTGGACAAATAGTTGACTTTAACATTTTTGGACGGAAAATCAACGAAAATGCCGGACATTAGACGGATATTAGACGTCAATTTTCTAAAACTGGCATCACTTATCTGCTACTGCTTTGGTTCGAAAATATTGGCAAAAAAAAACTGGGAGCGTTGTTTTTTTTCGGAGGTATCCCTGTCTTCATTGAAATTCTCACACTATGTTCAAATTACCCCACGCTAAAAGTTATTTTGCCATTTTAAAAAACAGGGTTCAAAAGCAAATTTCTTGGATTGAAGGCACTGATTAGGTCATTATACAACAAAAGCCGTTGCGTATTAGGCGCTAGCAATGCAAGATTTTGCGCTGCAATGAAGTTGCAATGACGTGTTGTTAGGCGTTTTTCCTTGCGAAATTGATTTTTTACACTGTGCGTCAACATCTTCATTCCCTGAAACTTTAAACCCCGTTCATATGATAGCCCTTTTAGTTACGATAATTTCTCTCATTGGTCTTATTGTCATGCCACTTATGGATTTTCCGTAATTTTGTGATATTCACACTATGTTCAAATTGCCCCACATTTTCAAATTACCCCACCCTACCCTATCCTACCATTAGCTCCATCTCTCAATCTGTCCGCTCCACCTCACCCCTTTCGCCTTAGCCACTACTCAGTGCCCTGCCCCATCCCTCATCCTCCCATTCCTTACAAACCAATGCGTCCACGCCCTCACCCCTCCCCTCCCCCACCAACCAATGCCACGCCCTCACCCCTCCCCCTCGCCCCCGTCCCCACTCGTAATGTTCGATCGCGCCCGCGACCACGCGTTGTCGGCTCCATATCACGGCCTAGCCCGCCCCCGGGGCTCTAACCCGCCGGAAACCAAGCAATCCGGTGACTGGGAGCCAGTCATTCACTTAGGTTGATAATAGTGCTCCTAGTGGCTTGCAACTAACTTACTACATAACTGACAAGAACCGTAGCGATGCATGGCTGGAAACCAGCCCATGTAATGTTTGGGTTCCATTTTATCCGTTGTGGGAGTACGTCTTATCAGAGACACGGGCTGTCGGCTCCTTGTGCTGGCGAGCTGCCGACTTCCGTTGACCGGAAGCGCCATGTTTCCGTTACCAGGAGTGTAACTCGCTCGGTCCTAGTTAGTAGTGTCATAGCCGCGACGGTCGGTAGATTTATCAGACCTCTTCAGCTTTTCATGGCTAGACGTTACTACTTTCACCAAGCGCATCCAAATATTCGTCCTCGGAAACATACTCGCTGTTAACGCAGAGAAGTCCTTTTTTAGGTTGAAAGTACAACCTTTGTTGGAATTCAGATGCCTTAAGGAAGGCTTCTGTCGCTCGGACTGATGATTGCTTTATTTTATTTTATGAGTTGTAATGCGCAAAGGGTAAGCAGATAACCTTGTACTATCCATATGACCAATGGACGACTTTTACGTGTAATGGCTCGGACGGCTCGGGTCGCCGCCAAACTGTCTGACCCCGCCCGGCCGCTGTTCCAGGTCAGGCGCTGTGTGAACGATGTAAGAACGAGACGCACCGCGCCAAGATGTTCTCCATGCACGAGGTGATGTCGCTCTCTGAGCGACTCCGGAAGGCGTGCAAACAGGTCAGTGGCCCGTGCCGTGACACCAGGACGGAATGCCGTGGGCTGGGGGGGGGGGGAGGGTGGACGCGGGGTGCCGTTGGTTTCCCGCCCTGGGTTGTGGTTATTTGAACGGTACACCATCGTCCATCATATAATTCTGGGTTTGGTATTTTGAGTAGGTCACTGGCAAAAAAGAAAAAGAAATACGATTACATCTAGCTAGTCTGGTATTTCGGTGCTGTTGGTTTTGTATCTTGTAATAAAAAAATGCATTTCATGGCAGTTTTGGGATTAATTGTATACATGACATGATTACATTACACTGCATTACATTAAGTAATTACATGGCTATTTACATGAATGAGTTAATGAATGGTTGTAGGCTGGTTGTAGGCATGAACGAATGGATTATTTGATAAATGAATGCCTGTCTGTCGGTGCCGCCGCCAGTGTCCTGTGCACAACGAGCCGCACATCATGTTCAGCACGGACAAGAAGGAGCTGCTGTGCATCAACTGTTTCCGCGAGTACAGCGCCGAGTCGAAGCTGCACTGCGTCGACCTGGACACGGCCTACACGGACGGTGTGCGTCGACTGGAAAGGACCGTCGTGGTGAGTGAGAGATGGGGGTCGGTGACGGGGTGTGTGTCGAGTGGTGCTAGGCTGGGTGTAGTGCTGTTTGGAGGGGCGGCTGGTTGGAACTGGGTGTAAATGGGGCAGCCTAAGTGGATCTGGTCGTCTGTAAGCTAGTGATTGACAGCAGTTATGAGTGTCGTATCGCGCTGCTTAATGAGGTGCGTTGCCTCCACCACCCAACGGCAGATGAGCGGCCGAACTGACTCACGGACACGGTGGGATATACTGTGACAGTCTACTTTTGCAAGCTCGTTAGTCGATCACTTCATTGGCATGGTAATACAGCTGACATAATAAATTATTAACTACCTCTTATTATCTTCATATCTGACCCGTTCTTCTATTAAAAATTGGGGTTAGTGCCGGATCACGAGAACTGAAAACGATCTGCACATCTAAAGTTTTCCATTAGTCCTGACGAATTGTTTCAGTTTCACTTGGAATCGTTTGTATTCCAAAAGTGATGATATATCGGTCGGAACTGTTAGGATTCGTAGCATCCCATTCCTCGATGCATTTTAGGCCGTTACTCGGGGTGACGTCTTGCCCTTCCAGGCACGGAGGCGCCATCTTCCTCTGGCTAGAATGGATGAGAGCAGCTTCTGATTCACTGGATTTTTACGCATCAAAGCGATGACATTGTCCATCGTTACATATCTTTTTGCGTTGATACACCGTCCCGCTTCCTCCGGTCCTGTCCCCTGTTGTTGTCCCGACAGTCCCCATATCCGAGCCGAGATCGATGCCGCTTGATCTGGCCCTTTGAGTTCTAAATGTCCGATCTATGCTACCGATAATTCAGCTGCCCGTCAACCCAGTGTGGCTTTGTTGCAGCGGTAATAACACCGCTGTCTCTGTATCCATATCCTGATATGTGTGTCTCCGCACCCGTATACTCCGTATCTCCGCGTGCTCCGATCGTAACCGCTGGGTGCGCGTCGTCCGTCACGGCGCGCAGAGTATCCGCGAGCTGCAGAACTCGGTGCGCGACGGGATCATCCTTTACCGGGCGCTGCTGGACGAGGTGCGACACAACATGGAGGCAGAGAAGACGGCGGTGACTACCTTCTGCCGTCAGCTGCACGAGACCGTCAGCCAGCTGCAGAGCCGCCTCCTCAGCGATGTCGAGGGGTACGCTGCGGCACGGGTGTTAGCCACGGCATGGCATGGGTGTGCGCCATGCCACGGAGGGGGGGGGGGGTGCATGGGGTAACGGCGAGCTGCCTACTGGACCGTGGGTCTCGGAGGAATTCATAGCGACCCGTCTGGAGATGCACATCACGCACGGATGTGTTCGCTGTTTAGTGGCGAAGTGCACGGCTGTGCTTACCGCCTGATGTTCCTTTAGCGTCTGGTGATCAGCTGCACGGTTGTCTACCGTCCGGTGTACGGGTCGATCAGTGAGCGTTGCCTCCTCGTGCACTGCAGGCTGCTATTGTGTTGATTTTTATCTAAGTTTGCGCTATATTTTGATATGCCCTGCAATCTAACCCTCCTCAATTGCGTGAATTTCTGCCCACGGCAAGCCATATGATTCGTCTCTCTTGCTGATATTCTTGCTCATATCTTTCCACGTCACAATTTGTACATCCTCTTCGATTTTGAGTTACATGTTTAACCCTCGCACGACCAGGCCATTTCTCATAACACGAACGACCAGAGGGGGGGGGTTGTTACGACCCCCCCTGGCGTTTCGAAACGGAAGGTCGTAGAGCTTAGCGGAAAAAACCAACGGATTGCTCTCAACGAGATCTCGCGATTGGTGGTATATTTTTTGGTCCTAGGTCAACATTTGACCTACTTATGACCGGTCAAAGGTCAAATTTTCCGAAAAAATCAAACTTTTTCAACTTTGCGCAACGATTGCGGCAAAACGGTGAGAGATATTAACTTCAAACCTTCAACAACGTATTCCCCACTCAATTCTGCATCATATATGGTGTTTTTGGTGTATTTACCCTAAAAAAGTAAGAGGCCTATTGCTGATGAGTGATATGGTGTCACATCACCCTCCGGTGTTTGTCCCGATTCGTCGGCTGTTGACCACTGCTCCGCTATAAATACTGTAGGTAACGACTCAGAAAAGTGTATTTCCAACTTCCAACAATCAATTCACAGCAAACGATAATTGCTCATATAATCGTTGTAAAACAAATAATTTACGGCTGCACATAACCGTACGGGATGTTGGACCACTCATGACGTCATACCTCTCTAATCTGACATGACCCGGCCATTTTGTTTATTTCAAAAGTTAGTCAATAGATGTCCCAACATGTCTGGAAAGTTCTATTAGCATACATGCACTACTCCACATGCAATCGTAAAAAAGCTGGGGGCGCATTTATCAGACTCTCACTTCTCAGAAATGGCGGCGTACGCTGTACCACATATGACGTCATAACTCCGTGACCTGACCTGACCCGGTCAAGTTTCTTGCACCACACGATGGCCAATACTTGCCCCAACATGCATGGGAAGTTTCATGACGATCCATCAAACAATGTGGATAGCATCAGCAGAAAACCTCGGGACTCGGTACACACTTCGTGAAAATCCGGCCGGAGGCTGTACCTCTTATGACGTCATAACTCCGTGACCTGACCTGACCCGGTCAATTTTCTTGCACCACACGATAGCCAATGCTTGCCCCAACATGCATGGGAAGTTTCATCATGATCCATCAAACAATGTGGGTATCACCGGCAGAAAACCTAGGGATTCGGCGCACACGTTTGGTAACTGTCGGCCGGAGGCTGTACCTCTTATGACGTCATAACTCCGTGACCTGACATGACCCGATCAATTTTTTTTTTCGGCAAAAGATGCGCAAAGGTTGCCCCAGAGGGTATTGAAAATTTCAGCCCGCTACGACAAGCCGTTTAGCGTGCACTTCGAAAAAACCTCAGGGGGGGGGGGGTTGATACAACCCCCCCCCCCTAGGCGTTCTAGGGTTAAGAAGACCGTAATATTTGTTCTTTCTACCCATGACTATGTCGTTTGTTTTGTGTTTTATTACTTCGGTTTGGCGGCGCGATTCTATTGCACTCACATTTTCGTTAACTATATCTTTGAAAAGACATGACAACAGTGCTTAAAGTGCTTGCTATTTATGTGGCGTACACTTTAAGCACCTTATTTTACCGTGTTTATGTCTTGGTTTATGTCATGGTTTTGGCGAGGCATGGCTGTTGGGATTTTCTCTTTGTCATGTTCCGTTGTGTTCGAGCACGGTTGTTTTTCATCTCGGCGTCGTAATTCATGATTGTCGAGGCGTCGATTTTACGAGGTGATGCATGTCGCCATAAATGTCACTTCACGCGATCAATGGTGCTGGCTAAGCTATGAGCTAAACTGTGAGCTGAGCCAAGCTCTGAGCTGTGAGCTGAGCTAACTTGAGCTGTGAAGCAGTTGCTGGGGTCGCTCACCAAACGTCGTGTGCATATGTGGATAGTAGTATCTAAACCTTCTTAATCGGATGTTCGCATTACGCATGTTGCCTTTATCGATGTTTGAGGGCCGTCCTTCAAGATGTGAATGTGTTTTTCATGTCTGTGATTTCCGTCTGGTTTCATCAATGAGCCTTGGTTTTTTTAGCTTTTTGGGCCAATTATGGAATGAGAGCCCTTCGTTTTTAGCATCTCCATTCTCCATTAGTCTTTGTTTCTATTCGTTTGATGATTTCATGTTGGCGTTCTTGCTCTTATTTTATGCTATGCATTTTCAGGAAAAGAGTTATCTTGACTCAAACGCGAAACGGTTCCCTTGCCGTGCATCGGATGCTTGCCATTCGACAAATTTCCTTACGTGCTAGATCTTTTCCACATGTGCCATTATGTTTGAAAGAGTGAAATGTTTTCATTATGTAACCAACCACCAAGAAATTGTTTCTTGGACTTCAATATTGTTGTTTTCCTCACGCTTTATTTCCATCCTCGAATACCTGCGGCTTGCATGGCTCATTTTCATGTTGTCGCTGAAGATTAATTGTGGTTTAAGGCTGTGCAACAGGTGTTACATTTTATTAGTATTCGTCCTTGTGGAGCCACCTAGCAAGGCCGACTGATGCAAATGCAAGTGCTGCATGTGCCATTCTTTCGTGTTAGTATGTAACGATCGTGGTGCGATATTTGAGTTGCGCCTCTGCTCGTGCATTGACGTTTTTGCACCGGCACTACGCTTCACCACTATTATTTGGGAAATATTCACAAATAAATTTACGTCGTGTTACCATCCTGCTAATGAATCGTTTTCATGCCTTCCATTCAAGTGTTTAGAGACTGGTACGTACGCCTGACACCGAATTTTAGTTATTCGCTCACAGTTGTTCATCACAATATCGCTTTCGCTCTCAGGAGTCAGGGTCACCGTTTTTCTATGAACGACTACTTATAATGAACGACATACGCCACGGTCAGTAATTATGCTGTAACTTTTAATCCCACCTCGTTACTCATGGGTACGCTTGTGATTCCGCAGTGACATACTCTGAGCTCTGAACCTCCCGTTGAGGCAGACCACTGACCGCTCCCCGGTCCGCGCCCTCAGGCAGTACACGCAGAAGACGTGCACCTTTCAGCAGCAGCTGTGTGACCTCTGCTCGCTGCTGCCCGTGCTGCATGTCCACCTGAGCATGTGCACCACGTTCACCCACTCGGCCAACAAAACCGAGTTCCTGGATCTCAGCTACTCGCTGATGGGGCGACTGTCGAACATCGCGCACATCGGGGTGCCACTCAGGTCAGTGTCTACGGTCTCCTCCCAACCCGCTCCAACCGGGCAGGGGCATTACGTCATGAATCGGCGTCAATAGGCGGCACTGTACTGAGGAAACAAAGCAGACATAACCCGGTTAATGGAGGGCTTACAGTGAGTGTTTGGGTACCGCTTATATTGTTTACTTCTGACATATCCGTGCCGCGTAATAAGATTAGCTATGTTATCATTCTTTTTGTTGTTAGTGGATTACATCGACCCTTCTCTTGTTCCGCCTGCCCCCGTATCCCACACCCCACATACATGTCGAAGGCCGTCGCTTACCGCTGTTTTGTGTCACGGTCCTTTGCCCTCAGGCCGAGTCAGACCAGCCAGGTAAAGACCAACTACCGTCGTGAGGTGTGCCAGGCTCTGGACCCTCTGCTGTGCCCGCCGGCGGCGGCCACTCCGGAGCCGGGCGGCCGGCTGGTGCCGGTGGCGGCGCGGCGCGCGCACACCGCCAACCGGCTGCGGCTGCTGGACTCGAGCGGCCCGTTCGCTGACCACTGCCGCGCCATCGAGACCCGGCTCCAGGAGATCACCGGACGGTACCGGCAGCTGCGCGAGATGTCCCCCGACCGCGCCGAGGTCGCCTGCCAGGTGAGCGGGTGGCAGCGCTGGGGTCGGCTGTGAAGTGAGGGGGCGGCAGTGCGGAGGTCGGATGTGTTGGCGGGAACGTGGTGGTCTGTTAGGGGAGCAGCTGTCACTTTGTCCGGAAAGGTGCGTCAGGGTTGACCTATCATAGAGTGTGAAAGGTCTGTGTGAGCTGTCACTGGGTTTTTTAGTTTTATCAGGTGAGCTGTCAGCAATGGGTTTAACAGGCTATTGTTTTACGCCATGAAATGTGATGATCGTTCTTGTATTGGCGTGCGTTATCTGTGATACACATACAGGTAACCTCAGTTTGGGCATACCAGTTAAGCAATGCAGTATGAACAAACGTCAAGATAATTACAGTGGATGGAAACCGCAGCAAACGCTGACTATCTATACGTGTCCCCTGTGAGGTGGTGGACGGCGACATTGTCTCGCTGGCCTGCGAGGTGGAGGAGGCTCGCCTGCGTCTCCAGCACCGCTGGGACGAGGTCAGCACGCGGCTACAGATGGAGCGAGACGTGTTCTCTGCTCAGGTGAGGGATCGCTGCTAGCGTCTGTATCGCTCAAGAATCAAGAATCAAAGTTGTTTAGGCTCTGGAAGAAGACGTCGAGGTGTATGTTGTAGCCCATTTCTATTTTGAATCACGGCACGTTCTTCTACATCAGTTTGATTTCTCTTGGGTCAGTCTTGTCTGTCTGCCCGATGTGTTTACTATCGGTATGTTGTCCTGTGGAGTATTCGAATGGAAGAGTTTATTGACACTACAGGATAGCATAAAGCGCGGATATAATGGCGGATACCAGTCAGCACAAAGTGATCTTTGGTCGGGTCTGTCAGCTACCAATGTGAAGTCATTTGTCATAGTTGATTGCTGATAGGTTATCTCGCTGAGACCACGACATAAAGCTTGACGACCTCTCAATAGGTCACTTAGTCAAAGTCTCGTCCGTTTGCTGGCCAGCTCTCGGCCGGTCCAGACATCTGAAATCACCACTGATCTGTCCGAAACTATCCTGTCTCAGCAGTTCCCTGGCCTTTTTTAGGTCCTACTCTGCGTCCTGCGATGTCCTGTCTTGCCCGCCCCCTCCCATGCGCTGTTCTACTCTGCCCAGCCCTGTCCTGTCCTGTCCTGTCCTGTCCTGTCCTGTTCTGTCCTATCCTGACCTTTCCTGCCTTTTCTTGTCCTGTCCTACTCGATCTCCGCTCCCGTCTGCGGGCCCCGCTAACCTCTCTCTCCCATCTCGGACAGGTGTCGGACCTTCAGCAGCTGCGAGCCGACCTCAACCGGTTCACGATCGCCATCAAACAGCAGACAGGTGACCGTCCCAACTCGTCCGACACACTGACTAATTCGCATGGGGCCGCCGGCACTGCCGCCGCGGCCGCCGCGGCCTGCAAGAAACAGCGGGCCACCAGCAGGGAGAGGTGGGTAATCGGGGGAGGCAGGGGGTACGGAGAGGAAATCGCCGGTCAGACACCCGGGGGAGAAGGAAGCGCACTTGTGGATGTCGCCGTGTGTAGTCTCTTGAAAGCATCGCTACTCGAAAGTATCACTATCGCTCCCTGGTTTGAGAGGGTTGACCGCCTGGCCGGCCCGTGAAACCGTGAAAACGGTACCGGCCGGCTAGGCGGCCAATCCAGGGGCTCACAGACCAGGGAGCGATAACGATACTTTCGAGTAGCGATGCTTTCAAGAGGGGCTACACTCATTGGTTGTGGGAAGACTCACTGTCAAAATGCTGTTTTTATTTCGATGTTTTATCGTGCAGTTAGTTGTATAGTTAAAATGATATGTTAAGAGGATATTTACCTTTTGAGTTTGACTACTTGTTAGTCATCTAGAGAGCAACTATTGTAAAAGTCATTACTTGTTTGAGTTTCAATAGCCCAAAGTGAACCTAATCATGCGTGCTTTTAAGGTTCTCCAAGCCATGACTCATTTCCGATGTCTTTATCGAGAGCATAAACCGTTAATTAGGCTGCAATGCTCGGGACCTAGTGGGCTCAGCGCCCCTCCCTGTTGCTCCTCATTAGCGTTCCAGCCGCTATATCCCGTTTTACGCCGTGCTAAATATCGACCCGGCTCGGCCCAATGAGCTGTTATGCCGGTATTCACGAGTGACCTGTCGGAGGGGCGGTGCCGGCTCACCCCTGCCTGCCACCTGCCGCGGCCCGTTTACGGCCGGTGGGGTGGCTGGTGGTGGGTACTCTGTGCCGTCATACCCCGCCTGTCTACGGCCAGATACGGACACGAGCAGGTGGGCCGCTGTGTATCGGCGATATACAGCCAATATACAGCGGCCAGCCTTGCCACTGCCGCTGTCTGCAGCAGCGTCACGGAGAGATCCAAAATTTGCCGGTCATTGATGACCAAATTTTGGCAGTTTCCTTTTTACATGAGTTTGAGATTTTCATATGCGTATGCAGACAGACTGTCGTAAAGTATTTGTCATTTTTGTGTGTCGGACAGTGCTCCCTCTCCCCCCCCCCTCACACCCCCCATACAGTATCCGTGACGTTAGGAAGTCACGCTGTGTCTGAATGCCAGACACCGCGGCTGACGCTCTCCCGTCCTCCCCATCCAGGCCGGAGGTGCCACCGCGGGTGGACTCGCTGCCCTGCCAGCCGCCGGCGTCCGGTCAGCGCTCCGGAGACGAGTCCGCGACCTCGGCCGGCACCGGCGCCGGCCAGCCCGACCTGCACTGGCACCAGCAAGGTGGGCCGGGCGTCGGTGTGTGACCCTCGGGGGGCGCGGCCGGCGGCCGGGCTGCGTCCCGGCCGCCGCCCGCCGCCCCCGCCCCCGCCGCGGCCGCGCCCTGGACGCTCTCCCCGTGCTGTGCCTCCCGGCCCCGGGTGTGCGACTCTGACGAGCTCTGACAGGCGCCGGCGCCGCCCGGCCCGCACCACCCCGTGTACAGGACGCATGCGTGGCCGCTCGGTGGACGCTCCGTGGTAGTGAGAGACTGCTCGGGCCGATCGGGGAGGCGGCGACGGTTGTGACGGTGGTTTCAAAGTTCAGATTCCTTCACATCGAACGGCGGACAGCTCTTCAGAGATTGTTCGCTACTTTGATGTTCTGTTGTTGTTGTGTGCTGCTTTTGATGATTGCTTGCTGCTCGATAATAAAGTGCTTGCCTTACGTTGTGGAATGTTTGTAGCATGACAAACGAGGATAAACGTTAGAGCACGCTCTAATAGTAATTACGGCAGTGAATGAACTCAAACGATTTTTACCCTAACTCAAGAAACATCCATGTGACGTATCGGTAGAATTTTCCCTTGTGGCTGCATGCTAAACCTCTAACTAAAGAATATGCTATGATAAGGGTCTTCGTCTGATAATATTTGGTTGCTAACATTTATCAGTAATGATTATCAATCGCACAACATAATTTTAGACTAATGATGCAATAGTGAAGAATCTATCAGCAATGAAAAAGCATTCATTACTTAAATCGCGACATGGTCGCTCAATTATTCTATGATGTGAAGTGCGTGCGGTGCACTCAGCCCTAGCGGGGTGCGCTGCGTCCGGCACGATGTGGCGTCCCGTGCGGCTGCAGCAGCTCTAGGGCCGTGTCCCTCTGTCGACAGCGGGCGGAGACGGCGCCCGGCCGGCCGGCCGCGGCGCGGCGCCACCGGTCAGCGAGGCTCAGCGCGGCGTCATGTCCCAGCTGCGCGAGGTGGTGCGCCGCGGCCGGGAGCGCAGCGAGGAGCGCTGGCGCGAGCCGTCGCCGCCGCCGGCCAACTGGCGCGACCACTCGGAGGAGCGCTGGCGCAGCGACGACGAGCCGCCGCTCGACAGAGAGCGACGCATGACGCCCAAGCTGACGTGGTCGAGCCGCGGCGACGGCCCGCCGCTGGCCGCCAGCACGCACGAGCAGAGCGGCTGGCGCTCCAGTGCCAGCTGGCCGCGCCGCAAGGCGCCCGTGCTGACGCCCATCTCGCCGAGAGAGGTTAACACCGACTATAGCGCCGGCTCGATGACGTCGATCGACTCCCAGCCGTCCGAGGGCGCCTCTCACCCGTCCGGATTCACCAGCATCGACTCGGCGCTGGACCGAACTGTGGAACGTGTCATCACGGGCATCGAGAAGTCGGCGGCGCGGGCTCGCGGCCGCGCACCCCGCCGCTCGCTCGGCGATCAGGTCTGCAAGTTCGGCCGGTTCAGCGTGGCCAAGGTGTCGCGCGACTCGAGCGGCCACGACACGACCGTCAAGATCTCGGGTCGTGTGGGCGAGGTGCGCGGCGCCGCGGCAGGAGCGCCGGCCGGCGAGAGGCGCCTGCTGCGCCGCGGCCGGCCCAAGCCGCGCTCCCGGGACGAGCCCAACTCGTCGCCGACCGACGACGAGCGCCGCCACGCCTACTCGGACTCGGAGTCGAAGGCGGGCCGCCGGACGCGCCGCGGCCCGGCCGTGCGCCGCCAGAAGTCGGCTGACAGCTGCGACGGCCGCGGCCGGGCGCTGCTGGCCGCCGAGGCGGCCGCCGTGCGGCGCACCGACAGCTTCGAGGGCCACGAGCAGACGGTGCAGACGATCGTTGCCGCCGTGCAGGAGTCGCGCACGGCGCGCCGCCGCAACAAGTGATGGTTCTGTGCCGAGTTCGTGCTGTCCGGGCCGCGCGCCGACCGGCCCGGCCCGCGGCCCGCGACAGTGGCGACACTCGGCGGCGCCTGGCGGAACGACGCGCCGCAGCGACCACACACATAGCCAGTCTCTAGTACAATCGATAGCTGCACGTGCCGCCTCCTGGCCGCAGCCTCAGCGCTGTGCGGCAGCGGCGCTGTCCACTTCTACAGGGTATCTGTTCTGCTACCTACCTGTGCCAACCGGAGTTTTGTGTCATCTGTCCTATCCTGTCCTGTCCTGTCCTGTCATCTCACCCGGTTTGACGTGACATGGGCAGCTCATCGGAAGCTGCCAGCGCTGGGTGGCAATTCGCTTGTATGTTCGTTGTGCGGTGTTGAGTAGCTATGTACCGTTTAGCTGAGAGCCCATTATGTTTCACGGTGGATTGCGTAGTCTGTCCACATATAGGATCATCTTTGGGAAATTCGAGAGCTCACCAGTCTAGTTCAATCCTTGCTCGTTCTATCAATCATCAGTCCTTTTTGATAGCTATAGAGCTGAGGTACCCGCCTCTGTTTTGATTTACCTTTTTGCGTGGTGACACAGTAACATCGATTAGGCCTTATCAATTGACGTGTAAGACGGCGCCGGACTTACCCCTACCGCTAACTCCATCCTCCTTTGTCGGTTAGTGTAGCCTTTTTATCGTTAATTTGTTTTGCTGAGTTGTCCTTTTGGTACTTTTAGTTAGCTGATGATAATCCCATTCCTTTCTGAGTATACCTACATAAAGGATGTACAGTTTTGCCGTCATAGTTTTGTCGCGTCGGTCGATTATTTAATCGCGAGACGGCGTCAATGCCCTTCCCAGCTTGACGAAAATATGCGTGTGTGCTTATCTAATCCTTTGAAGACGAGGACTCCTTTAGCGTCGACGCCGTGCATTAATTGACAATCGAGGACATCGACCCAAGCCGTTCCTTTGTACGCTCCGATAACTTGTCGACTGGGCTTGGTGAGTTAGTCGAGCCTCCCAATCTCACAGACCAAACGCAATCCACTGCTGAGATGCCGGTAACGACGGCAGTGTCCCAACCAGCGGTGGCTTGTATCCCGTGGGCCACTGGTGGTCACATCAGGCCAGTTGGGGCCGTGTGTTTGACCTATCCTCTTCCCTCCGTCGGCTTCCCCTTATCTTGAGCTTTAACCCTCGCCGGATTTAACGGTTTTCTTAATACGAGTAGATCCCAGCCAGGGAACAAGTTGCGATCTCCTCGCCAGTTGGCCGTGGCGACTGGGACGAGAGGTGACATTATTCTCGGCCAGGGAGTAACCGTAGCTAGTGTCGTAGCTGGGTAGGGTCAGAGTGGATGGTTAGTGAGGCTTCTTTAGATGGTTAGTGATGGCGTAGGCAAATTAGGCGCCGGAGATAGTTCGGTTTCACTTGAAGCCGTTTCCTGTCTAGGGAATCGTTATGGAGAATGTAACAGGCTTTAACTTCATTTACTTTCCTATATTTCCTTGTTAAGAATTTCATCGTTAGGAACATTCCTATCCCAATCATGTTCATTGATATGTAACAGCACGGTGACTATTGTAACAGTTGTGCCGTCTTCAGGAACATTGAGCCGTTATGTTATCCCGTTTCGGTGCATCGCTTATATAGGTGTATGGTGGAAATTAAAACTGTTGATCATTCGCGTTCGCTGTTGCATGTTCCAGCTACCGTGTAAATAAAACACGACTTCGGAGATATTCCTGTGAGTTCATTGTTGTTTACGTCGAGACATTCCTTTTGATGAGTGCGTTCGAACGATTGGCTACCGTCTTTGGCTCTGGGTGAGCTGTGACCCGACTTACCGGCCGATGGGTCGTGTGGGTCTGGACGGGATCGGCTGATGGGACCGGCAGGTCTCATGGAGTGGCTGATGGGATGGGATAGAGGAGAACACGACGAGAGGCGGCTGAAAGGACAGGCCGGTAGGGCGAATGGTGGGATGGTCTGCACTGTTTCTGACGAGACGACTGATGTGACTGCATGGCTGGTCGAGCTGACAGCTGGGAGGGCATAGCTGTAGGGATAGGATGGCTGATGGCATGATTATTTTGTTAGGAATGGCCAGCGAGACGGGACGGCGGGTAGAACGGAAGTGGTACGGCTGCGATGAGGTCGACCGATGGACATTGCGCACGACGGGGTCCAAGCGACAGCCGAGTTCTGGGCTCGTGCGACGGGATACCTATCACGCGCCGCCAGTCTGTAAACGGTGTTCAGCCCGTCAAATAAATGAGTTTCCCCTGGTCATTGATGCGTCAAACCTGTTTCAAATAGGAATAGAAAACAAGAAGTTTGTTATGACTGAACTTCCATTGGGTAGCCGCCGCGTGCAGTGACTGCCGATCTGGCGCTCCCGAGGCCCGTGTGCAGACGGTGGCTGACGTCACGACCAAGGCACGAGTAAACAGCGGCCAGTCCAGGCACGTCAGACCCCTGGCAGTGCCGCGTGCAGTGCAGCCAGAGACGTCAGACCCCCTGGCATTGCCGCGTGCAGTGCCGTCGGAGCATTTCCCACATTAGTACCGTCGCGTGCAGTATAGCTGACCGTCACCAGTCCTCTGCCGGCTGTGCCCGGTCGCGAGCGCCAGTGTGAGACCCGGCTGTCTCACCTTCTGACCCTCAGCTGATTGGCCCGTCTCTCCTGCCCCAGCCATGCGTCTGGTGGTGCTGGCGCTCCTACTGTGTGTCGGAGCGCCCCTCTCGGCGGCCTTTGTATTCCCCAGTGGCGGGGTGCGCCGCGGTGTGGTGGTGATGCCGCTGAGAGCGTGTCGAGCCAACGACGGCACCGAGGGCCGCTGTGTATCCATGGTGTCCGGCGTCTGCCCCCTGTACAGGACCACCACGGACCTGCTGCTGCGCAAACCCAGCATCTGCGCGCTGAGCTTCCGAGACGCCATCGTCTGCTGCCCGCTGGCGGCGCTCATCGGGACGACTGGAGGGGTCGCGCCGGCCCCGCGCACCACCGCTCGGCCGCGCGTCTTCCCCGGTTTTACAATACGGCCAACCACCGCCCGGCCGGTGGTAACGGCCCCACCCACGGCCCCTCCAGTGGTCACCTCCGCCCCTCCGGTACCAAGCCCTCGGCCGGTGGTCACAAACCCTCCTGTGGTGACCAGACCGACTCCTACACGAGTCACCTCACCAGCGCCGTCCACCCCGCCTCCGGTACCGTCCGCCACCCCAGAGACTCGACCGACGCCCCGCTCCGTGCCGCCGACCCGTGACCTGCTGAGTCCGATCGGCCTACGCCCGCGGCCCACCCCGGCGGCGGCCACCTCTGCGCCCATCACCGGCCCACGGCGCGGCTTCCGGCAGCCCGGCTGCGGCACCACCAGCCCCATCCCGGCCTTCCACGCCAGCGGCGACTACTTCCAGCGGCCGCCGCCGTTCGCCCGCGCGGAGCGCGTCCACCTCGGCCTGCAGCCGTGGATGGCCATGGTGGGCGAGCGGAACTCTGAGAGAGCCGGCGCCGACCGCTGGATCTGCGCCGGAGCGCTGCTGACGCCCCGCATCGTGCTCACCTCGGCGCAGTGCGTGCTGACGCCCGACGAGCCCGAGCGGCTGGTGGTCGGTCTGGGTGAGCACGACCTGGCGTCGCGCACGGACGGCGTGGCCGGAACGCACCCCGTGGCGGCCGTGGAGCTGCACCCGCAGTGGTCGCAGCCCGAGCGGCGCCACTCGCTGGCCGTGCTGCTGCTGGGCCGGCCGCCCGACGAGAGCCCGCTCATCCGGCCCGTCTGTCTGCCGCCGCCGGACCCGCCGGCTGGTGCCGCGCAGCTGCTGCCCTTTCCAGGTCAGTCCGAGGACAGGGAGTCAGGATAATTTGACGAAAAGGTCATTAAATGTCATAGACCCAAAATGCTTTGACTTCACTTGTTGGACGTCTGCCAAAGTCGGAATGTCATCGCATTAGCCGTTTGTTGAGCAATCGACTGTTGCTGTTTCCTTGTATGCGCCATAGCTATTTTGCTCAACGAGTCATGGCAAAGCTTGTTGAAATGACAATTTGATGTGACCCTGCTGCTCAATTTGACCCACCACCGCGCTGCTCTCCGTTCCAGGTTCCACAGTGGTGGAGGCCTCGTACAACCTGGACACCACTGGCCTGAGTGACGGCTCGGCGCGGCAGCGGCTGGTGGCCGGCGAGGTGCCGGTGCAGCCGCTCGGTCGGTGCGTGGCCGCGCTGGCCGGCGCGCCGCTGGCCGAGCTGCTGTTCCCCGGCGGGCCGCAGCCGGAGCCGGACCTGTGCCTGGCCGCCGGCCACCAGTGCGCGCAGGACGTCGGCGCGCCGGCCGTGGCCGCAGGCGAGGACGGCACCATCCAGCTGGAGGGGCTGCAGCTGATGGGCAGCTGCGCCGCCGGCCAGCCGCGCCTGCTGCTGCGCGTGCGACACTACGTGCCATTCATCGCCGACGCCATCGAGAAGCTGACGAAGCCGTCCAGCGCGGGCTTCTAGTCCCGAGTTGGCGTTTGTTCTTGGAACCTACTCATACTTATGGCAAAGTTAAGCAATTAAACGTTCCAGCCCAGCGCTGACAAACAGTAAAAAGTTATAAAGCTTCAGTGAGCCATATGCCTCCCGTTCAACATGGTACGTTTAAATACAAGTCGTTGTGTGCTAAAACGGGCAATAAGTTCCGAGTTTATCCTTATCATCGCTGGCCAGCTAGGTTGAATGACCTTTTCTTTGCGTTCGTTCATCCTCCATCGCCATAAAGTTAAGTTCAGGGCAACGGAACCGTTATGCACGAGCGCCAATTCCTTCTCCGTAAAACCCGATTCCTGTCCTTGCCGACGTCTGCACAATCGTCACGCGGCCGGAGCGCGGTCAGGCTATGGAAGCTCGGCCTAGACCCGGTGCACCGGTCCGACCAGAGACGGCGTCACGAGCCGCGCCTCTACATAGAGCCGGAATTTCACAACCGGGTCGGCGGGCGCACCGGCCACTCGCCGGGCGGGCGGGCCGTTTCGCAACAGTCACCTTGCCGTTCCGGCGGCCGTCAGTCGTGCGCGCGTCACTGTGTGGCGGCTGTCGCGGCCAAGATTACTTAACTACTCGTCGCGGCTACCTCACAACGCAGAATGCCACGCACCACTCAGTACCATACCTATAGACCTCTTGGTATCCCTCCCCCTTTATGGTCACCCCTTTTCCCATCACCTCCACAAAACACGGTCATTCTATTAACAGTGGTATATTTCTGAGGTGGCGGTCGGTAGCCGCCGGCCGCGCGGCCCCATATCACGGCGGCGCGACATTGTGCACCGCCACAGGTCAGAGGAAAGTGGGACCGGCCGGAGCGCCGCGCCCCGAGCCGGTGCCGAGTCGCCAGGTCCCACAGCGTCCATCCCAACTGCGCTTCATTTTATTTGTGCATCGTTATAAAAAATACACACGAGCGGAAACGTCACAAATTACCTTCCCACCATATCGCAATAAAACCCATATATATATCTCGGCCGACCGTTAACACGTGGTCCGGAGCGGCCGAATAAATACACAAGAGAACACACTTCAGTTTTGCAGGATGGAATGATTCCCACGCCGAACAGAGTGCATTACGTCATGCGGATGCTCTGGATGATCTGGAAGATGGCTGAAAAGAAAGAAGAGCGTGCTTTTAAAAATTGTCGAATCCGACTGAACGAGCGCTAGCAAAAGGCTAGTAAGAAAGGTTTGATGTTCAGCGACGGATGTTGAGACCGCAACACTCAATACAATGCTAACATAACTTCATAAACTTAGAATGATCGTGAGTATGCCAATCCTCCGTCGCGCTACAGACGGTCTCTACCAGTGAACTTTGTGTCTTCAGCCATATATGTAATTGATGAATAAGCGTTAGTTGTTTACCGGTCCTAGACTGGGAATCACTGGTAATAAAAAATTTCAAGGATGAGGCCAACTATAAATTGAAACACGGTGATAACTAACGGACTTTTTCTAACAAAAAGTAAATCCCTTTCACAAAGTGAACAGCGAACACCGTGGAAAAATGACACTTTAGAAGGGCTTATGCAGTATCCACTGAACAATGATCCATGATCTGCAATTACAAAAATAGCGCATTAAATATAATAACAATGTTTTTATGCCATCAAATATTTTTACGAATCAATGCACGAATGTCTGCAGCTCAGCTACCGATCAGCCAGCCGTTTGAATGACGCGGCAACGCATAGAGCATCAGATGAACGCACGAGCATAAATGCCACGACGTACATGGAGTTTGACATAATAGACAGAAACCATTATGAAAAATATCGGATCATGAACAGGGTTATCGGTCCTGAGCATATCGACTGGATTCGTTTGCGGCTAAGTCCTGGGGCAGCTGATGGAGCCAGCAAAAGCAAATACATTGATTATTACAGTTCTACCTTCAATTGATTTTAGCTCTTGTTTGGTGTTTACTCAAGTTCATTTACAAGTTTAACTGCAATGTAGCTCCTATCGTCATCCTGAGAAGCATGTTCTAAGTGACTTCAGCATTTCTTACCTGATCCACAAACAACAAAGATGAAGAGAGCCAAGAGCCAGGGTCCAACAGGGTATTTGTCTTCTGCAGGTTTCTGAAACAAATATTTCCAGGTCAGGAGCAGGACCAGCCACTTGGAAGTTGGACCAGCAGGACAATCAAATCAATGCAATCACAACAGAAGCCTCTACAGATAATGTGGTATAATTTGATGATCAGTAGACCATTGAAATCTTGAGCAGTAGCCCATTTGAGATTCCCTTAAAAGGTTCTTCTCCTGACTGGTGAGAGTCATTGAACTGGGCTGGACTACGATTTTAATATTTCTCTTTGTTAGGGTCAATTAAGCTACCAATCATTATTTTGCAGAACTTGGAACTAATGACACTTGTCTTTGAAACTGACAAGTGACAATGATAGCCTGCCTCTGATTTCTTACCTACCAAATTATCAAGACTTCCTGTAATGTATGAGGAGTGGTCACAGGCTGGCATGGGGGAGAATTGTAAGAAACTGTGATTGCAGTGGAACTGGATTCACAGTGCAGAAAACACACAGTTCCTTACAATTATCCACCTATGATGACTGGCAGGGAGCATGAAGGGATATCTGTCTTAAATGAGAAGGCAATACTTTAGTCCTAGACCTGGCCTTCTACATTAAGTACCTCACCAGGCACCTAGAAAGTGCAGTAATGATTAGAGCAATAAGCAGTAGGTGACTTGGGGTCACTTTATGAGCTGTCTTGTTTTGGTCTAAAAACATGTCAACCTTTTTGGCACTTCTGGTATTTGTTTATGAAAGGTCTAATCACAAATAATTAAGCCATGAATATGCCACAGCAGAAAATGTAGGTTGTAGGTTGGTGTGGATTAGTAGGTAAGTAGGCAAGGTAAGGTCAGGTAAGGTTATGTTTGTTCTTATATTTGTGCCACATGTAAGCCAAAGTCTCATATTTCAGTTGAGGTCTCAGGATAAGAAATAATGTAAGAATATGCAAAATTTATGCTTGAAAAGTTAATCAGACTTTTTAACCCGCGCCCCGCTGGGGTCTGCCGACCAACGCGCCCTGCTGGGGGGGGGGGGCAATTTGCCCCCCCCCCCTAAGATCTCGAGAACCACGCAACATAGCGACAAGCGGTAAACGGTGTTGGATATCCCTATCAGGGAACTACCTTGTGACCCAATTTCGTTGACCTAGGTCAAACCGATGACGTCACAGGTCAGGTCAAATGTCGAATTTTCACCGTTTACAGGCATTTCAAGAAATGCGTTGTAAAATCGAGTAAAATGCATTTCATTGAAAATCATCGATGGGGAAATGTTCGTCAAACACATATTTTGCCAATTAAGGTCACTGATACCAGGTCAGGTCACAGAGGTCAGGTCACTGAGGGTCACATTATGAAAATATCATGTGATGCATGTTTTATGGTCCATTTTATATGCCAAATACGAGTATGTGGGTCAGGCAGTCTTTAGGGTCAGTTAAGATTATGTTTTGGTGAAGGTCAGGTCAAGGTCAGGTCAAGGTCAGATCAAATTAGGTCAAATTTCAAAGTTGATATTTTTGCATTAAATGGGTATCGATTCCATGCAGCTCGTCACGGGAAGTTCAATGGTGGTTTTTGTTTTGCGATACGTGGTCTAGAATTGCTAAAATTTGAGTTTAAAAATATGACGTCATCAATTTTAAAGTTTTTTCGCTATAACTTGGCCAAAAAAGGAGGCATCGATCTAAAATTTGGTATGTATATAGAAGAGCGCAGGGATTATCACATATATTCCGATTTTTTCGAAATTCGGAAAATTTTTTGGATTTTTTTAGTTTTGCTAACAATCAATTTTTTGAATTCTTGGGGGTCAAAATCCAAAAATTTTGAAAATCCGAGATAGCAGTTTTGTAGCGCTATCTTTTGTCTACATGACCATATAAAGAACTTTGAAATTGCTTGGTAACTGTAGCTTTTGTGAGCGTTTCACGATTTCATGTTTTTGGCTCATTTTTGCTCTAACATGACCTCGGTTTGACCTCAATAACTCCTGACCTAAGGTGACCTAAGACTTGAAATTTGGTGTGAAGGTGTCAAATTGATGCCCGGAAAGGTACTGAAAATTTGGTGAAGCGCCACCATTTTCTTGCTATTTAGGAAAAACCACAGAGGGGCCAAATTGCCCCCCCCCCCCCCAGCGGGGCGAGGGTTAAGCATTTAACACACTTTCCAGGTCATCAGGGCACCATGCATAGGCTGTACATAAGCAGCACAGCTCATGCAGAATCTCATAATTCAGATCTCACTAGGCCAGCACAAAAACTTAGATCCTGAGTGCTTCCATAGAACATATCAAATGATGTAGGCATAGCAGGTTATCTTTCAGGTTATAATTTGTTATACTTTGTTCAAAAAGCTTAAAAAGGTAGGTCACTCATGACATGATAATGTTTGGCACTTACAGTGCAGAGGGATAGGTGCTTTAATCAAAGACAACCTTTAAGTTAAACTGAAACATTGCCAGTGAACGCTAGTCACAATGCCACTCATGCTAATGCTGAAAACCTGAAATAAAGAACCCTTATTAACCCAAACAATAAAATAAAATAAGCATATGGTATCATCCCAATGGCTTGTAGGTGACAAAAATAGACAATAATTCACAGGATCAAGAATGAAATGGTGAATTTATCAGCACACATATGGAATTTAAATATAACTTACCAATGATTTTGGAACGTTGCCCCTCAACGTAATGTTCTTCCCCGCCTTCTCATTCTGTATCCTCATGCGCTGCTTCGCAACCATGTTTGGTTGAGAATAAAACCTCGTAAATTACACAGAAACTGTGCACACACCAAACGCCTCTACCGGTCCGCTTCAATTTGTTAGAGAGCGCGCAGCGACAGCGGACAACAGCATAGAAGTGCGTAGCTCTACGATCTAAAGTAGATCCAACTTATTGTCTTTTTCCGAACAAACAGGGTTTAGTTTGCTAAATTCGAAAACACATTTTTATGGGATATATTCTGAAATCCATATCAATTCTTCAAAAAGATTAAAAATCATTAAATTGCCACTCAGGCATAGCATGTGTTCATCCGCCTACACGTCAACCCGTACGTCACGTTTTGTCGTGAGGCGTGCTAATAAAACTGTCCAAATTTGCTGCAAAATTTAGTATGTTGTAAGAATCGAAATAGTTCACAGTATATCCCGCACATCTATCATTTTTTCGCGAATATATCGTCATGCAGACGCAAATTTATGTGAATTTTAGATTATTCTTCGAAGTTTGCATGACATAGTCGCATTCATTTCCTAAGTCCGCTGACCTATTATACTTGTTCCATAATGTCCATAAAGTTAGCGTCGTATACCCGGTAGAATATTCCGCCGAGTGATATCGCACGCAGATCCACGATCCAAATCAATATTGACATAATAAGTCCAACCCGATTTGGAGAAGTGGTCACCCAGATCTACGGCATACAAATGGCCTGTGGTCCAATGCACGGTTTGCCTTATAGGGTCTCGTCAAAGTATCCGGTCGTGTTGGCCGCGGTTCAAAAAAGACTTCTTCATTTACCGAGGCGAGAGTCCTGTCTTGCTAAATAGCTTTGTATCCATGGATGTCCCTTTAGCTACCAGTGTGTACCAGTGTGACACTCGACCACCATTCATGGCGCACTTATTCTAAAATAGCTCCTGAATAACTGCACGGAGTTTCTCCGCGAAACATTTTGACGCTTCAATATTTAGGCAATTTGTGTACAGGGTAAAAGGATTATAAGAAAACAATTGTTGCATTGAAGTTCTAAAACAGGCAGCATACAAAACGAAAGCCGGTAAACCCAAATCACTTTAACTATAGCAAGAAAAAGAAATTTCTCAACGTTAAGAACAGGGGCGTATTTTTTAGCAGCCGCAAGCTGTTTCAGATATTTGTAGCAGCTGCGTTGTATTTGACGAAGTTTTTTGACCATAAGACTCTGTTCGGCATATCACCAGTAGCTAAACAGACATCATTTTTTGATGACGTCAAAAGCTATATTTAATCAATGTGCCTAAAGTTTGCACTTACATGTAATTATATTTATCGATTAGAGCATTTGATATGAGTTTAATTGAAATATGGAAAAGTTTTTAACGCAAAAAGGGCAATTCCTGTAAACACTCTAGTAAAAAATAATGCTTATGTTCTCATTGACAAAATACCGAACAGGTACACATCCAAAGCGGAGAAGGAGGTGAAAAGTTTTGGGAGTATGCGTACGTCTGTATACTTAGCGAATTATTGACATTGACGTTCAGCGACAGATTCGCGGACCCCTAGGAATCCGCTGAAAATCCCTACAAAGGGGTAACTTGGAGCGTAGAGTCGCGTGGTGCAATCCGTTAAACCCTACACCTAATACTTTTCCCGCTAGAGGGCAGCAAAGTTCCAGCGACAGATTCGCCGGACCCCTAGGAATCCGCTGAAAATCCCTACATAGGGGTAACTTGGGGCGTAGAGTCGCGTGGTGCAATCCGTTAAACCCTACACCTAATACTTTTCCCGCTAGGGGGCAGCAAAGTTCCAGCGACAGATTCGCCGGACCCCTAGGAATCCGCTGGAAATCCCTACATAGGGGTAACTTGGGGCGTAGAGTCGCGTGGAGCAATCCGTTAAACCCTACACCAAATACTTTTCCCGCTAGAGGGCAGCAAAGTTCCAGCGACAGATTCGCCGGACCCCTAGGAATCCGCTGAAAATCCCTACATAGGGGTAACTTGGGGCGTAGAGTCGCGTGGTGTAATCCGTTAAACCCTACACCTAATACTTTTCCCGCTAGAGGGCAGCAAAGTTCCAGCGACAGATTCGCCGGACCCCTAGGAATCCGCTGAAAATCCCTACATAGGGGTAACTTGGGGCGTAGAGTCGCGTGGTGCAATCCGTTAAACCCTACACCTAATACTTTTCCCGCTAGAGGGCAGCAAAGTTCCAGCGACAGATTCGCCGGACCCCTAGGAATCCGCTGAAAATCCCTACATAGGGGTAACTTGGGGCGTAGAGTCGCGTGGTGCAATCCGTTAAACCCTACACCTAATACTTTTCGCGCTAGAGGGCAGCAAAGTTCCGGTGACAGATTCGCCGGACCCCTAGGAATCCGCTGAAAATCCCTACATAGGGGTAACTTGGGGCGTAGAGTCGCGTGGAGCAATCCGTTAAACCCTACACCTAATACTTTTCCCGCTAGGGGGCAGCAAAGTTCCAGCGACAGATTCGCCGGACCCCTAGGAATCCGCTGAAAATCCCTACATAGGGGTAACTTGGGGCGTAGAGTCGCGTGGTGCAATCCGTTAAACCCTACACCTAATACTTTTCCCGCTAAAGGGCAGCAAAGTTCCAGCGACAGATTCGCCGGACCCCTAGGAATCCGCTGAAAATCTCTACATAGGGGTAACTTGGGGCGTAGAGTCGCGTGGTGCAATCCGTTAAACCTTACACCTTATACTTTTCCCGCTAGAGGGCAGCAAAGTTCCAGCGACAGATTCGCCGGACCCCTAGGAATCCGCTGAAAATCTCTACATAGGGGTAACTTGGGGCGTAGAGTCGCGTGGAGCAATCCGTTAAACCCTACACCAAATACTTTTCCCGCTAGAGGGCAGCAAAGTTCCAGCGACATATTCGCCGGACCCCTAGGAATCCGCTGAAAATCCCTACATAGGGGTAACTTGGGGCGTAGAGTCGCGTGGTGCAATCCGTTAAACCCTACACATTATACTTTTCCCGCTAGAGGGCAGCAAAGTTCCAGCGACAGATTCGCCGGACCCCTAGGAATCCGCTGAAAATCCCTACATAGGGGTAACTTGGGGCGTTAAGTCGCGTGTTGCAATCCGTTAAACCCTACACTTAATACTTTTCCCGCTAGAGGGCAGCAAAGTTCCAGCGACAGATTCGCCGGACCCCTAGGAATCCGCTGAAAATCCCTACATAGGGGTAACTTGGGGCGTAGAGTCGCGTGGAGCAACCCGTTAAACCCTACACCTAATACTTTTCCCGCTAAGGGGCAGCAAAGTTCCAGCGACAGATTCGCCGGACCCCTAGGAATCCGCTGAAAATCCCTACCAAGGGGTAACTTAGGGCGTAGAGTCGCGTGGTGCAATCCGTTAAACCCTACACCTAATACTTTTCCCGCTAGAGGGCAGCAAAGTTCCAGCGACAGATTCGCTGGACCCCTAGGAATCCGCTGAAAATCCCTACATAGGGGTAACTTGGGGCGTAGAGTCGCGTGGTGCAATCCGTTAAAAACTACACCTAATACTTTTCCCGCTAGGGGGCAGCAAAGTTCCAGTGACAGATTCGCCGGACCCCTAGGAATCCGCTGAAAATCCCTACATAGAGGTAACTTGGGGCGTAGAGTCGCGTGGAGCAATCCGTTAAACCCTACACCTAATACTTTTCCCGCTAGGGGGCAGCAAAGTTCCAGCGACAGATTCGCCGGACCCCTAGGAATCCGCTGAAAATCCCTACATAGGGGTAACTTGGGGCGTAGAGTCGCGTGGTGCAATCCGTTAAACCCTACACCTAATACTTTTCGCGCTAGAGGGCAGCAAAGTTCCAGTGACAGATTCGCCGGACCCCTAGGAATCCGCTGAAAATCCCTACATAGAGGTAACTTGGGGCGTAGAGTCGCGTGGAGCAATCCGTTAAACCCTACACCTAATACTTTTCCCGCTAGGGGGCAGCAAAGTTCCAGCGACAGATTCGCCGGACCCCTAGGAATCCGCTGAAAATCCCTACATAGGGGTAACTTGGGGCGTAGAGTCGCGTGGTGCAATCCGTTAAACCCTACACCTAATACTTTTCCCGCTAGAGGGCAGCAAAGTTCCAGCGACAGATTCGCCGGACCCCTAGGAATCCGCTGAAAATCTCTACATAGGGGTAACTTGGGGCGTAGAGTCGCGTGGTGCAATCTGTTAAACCCTACACCTAATACTTTTCCCGCTAGAGGGCAGCAAAGTTCCAGCGACAGATTCGCCGGACCCCTAGGAATCCGCTGAAAATCCCTACATAGGGGTAACTTGGGGCGTAGAGTCGCGTGGTGCAATCTGTTAAACCCTACACCTAATACTTTTCCCGCTAGAGGGCAGCAAAGTTCCAGCGACAGATTCGCCGGACCCCTAGGAATCCGCTGAAAATCCCTACATAGGGGTAACTTGGGGCGTAGAGTCGCGTGGTGCAATCCGTTAAACCCTACACCTAATACTTTTCGCGCTAGAGGGCAGCAAATTTCCAGCGACAGATTCGCCGGACCCCTAGGAATCCGCTGAAAATCCCTACATAGGGGTAGCTTGGGGCGTAGAGTCGTGTGGTGCAATCCGTTAAACCCTACACCTGATACTTTTCCCGCTAGAGGGCAGCAAAGTTCCAGCGACAGATTCGCCGGACCCCTAGGAATCCGCTGAAAATCCCTTTATAGGGGTAACTTGGGGCGTAGAGTCGCGTGGTGCAATCTGTTAAACCCTACACCTAATACTTCTCCCGCTAGAGGGCAGCAAAGTTACAGCGACAGATTCGCCGGACCCCTAGGAATCCGCTGAAAATCCCTACATACGGGTAACTTGGGGCGTAGAGTCGCGTGGTGCAATCCGTTAAACCCTACACCTAACACTTTTCCCGCTAGGGGGCAGCAAAGTTCCAGCGACAGATTCGCCGGACCCCTAGGAATCCGCGGAATCAGCGGAATCCTAGGGGTCCGGCGAATCTGTCGCTGGAACTTTGCTGCCCTCTAGCGGGAAAAGTATTTGGTGTAGGGTTTAACGGATTGCACCACGCGACTCTACGCCCCAAGTTACCCCTATGTAGTGATTTTCAGCGGAATCCCAGAGGTCCGGCGACCAAGTTACCCCTATGTAGTGATTTTCAGCGGAATCCTAGGGGTCCGGCGAATCTGTCGCTGGAACTTTGCTGCCCTCTAGCGGGAAAAGTATTTGGTGTAGGGTTTAACGGATTGCACCACGCGACTCTACGCCATAAGTTAACCCTATGTAGGGATTTTCAGCGGATTCCTGGGGGTCCGGCGAATCTGTCGCTGGAACTTCGCTGCCCTCTAGCGGGAAAAGTATTATGTGTAGGGTTTAACGGATTGCACAACGCGACTTTACGCCCCATGTTACCCCTATGTAGGGATTTTCAGCGGATTCCTAGGGGTCCGGCGAATCTGTCGCTGGAACTTTGCTGCCCTCCAGCGGGAAAAGTATTAGGTGTAGGGTTTAACGGATTGCACCACGCGACTCTACGCCCAAAGTTACCCCTATGTAGGGATTTTCAGCGGATTCCTAGGGGTCCGGTGAATCTGTCGCTGGTACTTTGCTGCCCCCTAGCGGGAAAAGTATTGGATGTAGGGTTTAACGGATTGCACCACGCGACTCTACGCCCCAAGTTACCCCTATGTAGGGATTTTCAGCGGACTCCTAGGGGTCCGGCGAATCTGTCGCTGGAATTTTGCTGCCCTCTAGCGGGGAAAGTATTAGGTGTAGGGTTTAACGGATTGCATCACGCGACTCTACGCCCCAAGTTATCCCTATGTAGGGATTTTCAGCGGATTCCTAGGGGTCCGGCGAATCTGTCGCTGGAACTTTGCTGCCCCCTAGCGGGAAAAGTATTAGGTGTAGGATTTAACGGATTGCACCACGCGACTCTACGCCCCAAGTTACCCCTATGTAGAGATTTTCAGCGGATTCCTAGGGGTCCGGCGAATCTGTCGCTGGAACTTTGCTGCCCTCTAGCGGGAAAAGTATTAGGTGTAGGGTTTAACGGATTGGACCACGCGCCTCTACGCCCCAAGTTACCCCTATGTAGGTATTTTCAGCGGATTACTAGGGGTCCGGCGAATCTGTCGCTGGAACTTTGCTGCCCTCTAGCGGGAAAAGTATTAGGTGTAAGGTTGAACGGATTGGACCACGCGACTCTACGCCCCAAGTTACCCCTATGTTAGTATTTTCAGCGGATTCCTAGGGGTCCGGCGAATCTGTCGCTGGAACTTTGCTGTCCTCTAGCGGGAAAAGCATGAGGTGTAGGGTTTAACGGATTGCACCACGCGACTCTACGCCCCAAGTAACCCCTATGTAGGGATTTTCAGCGGATTCCTAGGGGTCCGGCGAATCTGTCGCTGGTACTTTGCTGCCCCCTAGCGGGAAAAGTATTAGGTGTAGGGTTTAACAGATTGCACCACGCGACTCTGCGCCCCAAGTTACCCCTATGTAGGGATTTTCAGCGGATTCCTAGGGGTCCGGCGAATCTGTCGCTGGAACTTTGCTGCCCTGTAGCGGGAAAAGTATTAGGTGTAGGGTTTAAAGTATTGCACCACGCGACTCTACGCCCCAAGTTACCCCTATGTAGGGATTTTCAGCGGATTCCTAGGGGTTCGGCGAATCTGTCGCTGGAACTTTGCTGCCCTCTAGCGGGAAAAGTATTTGGTGTAGGGTTTAACGGATTGCACCACGCGACTCTACGCCCCATGTTACCTCTATGTAGTGACTTTCAGCGGAATCCCATGGGTCCGGCGACCAAGTTACCCCTATGTAGTGATTTTCAGCGGAATCCTAGGGGTCCGGCGAATATGTCGCTAGAACTTTGCTGCCCCATAGCGGGAAAAGTATTAGGTGTAAGGTTTAACGGATTGAACCACGCGACTCTACGCCCCAAGTTACTCCTATGTAGGGATTTTCAGCGGATTCCTAGGGGTCCGGCGAATCTGTCGCTGGAACTTTGCTGCCCTCTAGCGGGAAAAGTATTAGGTGCAGGGTTTAACAGATTGCACCACGCGACTCTACGCCCCAAGTTACCACTATGTAGGGATTTTCAGCGGATTCCTAGGGGTCCGGCGAATCTGTCGCTGGTACTTTGCTGCCCCCTAGCGGGAAAAGTATTAGGTGTAGGGTTTAACGGATTGCACCACGCGACTCTACGCCCCAAGTTACCCCTATGTAGGGATTTTCAGCGGATTCCTAAGGGTCCGGCGAATCTGTCGCTGGAACTTTGCTGCCCTGTAGCGGGAAAAGTATTAGGTGTAGGGTTTAACGTATTGCACCACGCGACTCTACGCCCCAAGTTACCCCTATGTATGGATTTTCAGCGGATTCCTAGGGGTCCGGCGAATCTGTCGCTGGAACTTTGCTGCCCCCTAGCGGGAAAAGTATGAGGTGTAGGGTTTAACGGATTGCACCACGCGACTCTACGCCCCATGTTACTGCTATGTAGGGATTTTCAGCGGATTCCTAGGGGTCCGGCGAATCTGTCGCTGGAACTTTTCTGTTCTCTAGCGGGAAAAGTATTAGGTGTAGGGTTTAACGGATTGCACCACGCGACTTAACGCCCCAAGTTATCCCTATGTAGGGATTTTCAGCGGATTCCTAGGGGTCCGGTGAATCTGTCGCTGGAACTTTGCTGCCCCCTAGCGGGAAAAGTATTAGGTGTAGGGTTTAACGGATTGCACCACGCGACTCTACGCCCCAAGTTACCCCTATGTAGGGATTTTCAGCGGATTCCTAGGGGTCCGGCGAATCTGTCGCTGGAACTTTGCTGCCCTCTAGCGGGAAAAGTATTAGGTGTAGGGTTTAACGGATTAGACCACGCGACTCTACGCCCCAAGTTACCCCTATGTAGGTATTTTCAGCGGATTCCTAGGGGTCCGGCGAATCTGTCGCTGGAACTTTGCTGCCCTCTAGCGGGAAAAGTATGAGGTGTAGGGTTTAACGGATTGCACCACGCGACTCTACGCCCCAAGTTACCCCTATGTAGGGATTTTCAGCGGATTCCTAGGGGTCCGGCGAATCTGTCGCTGGAACTTTGCTGCCCTCTAGCGGGAAAAGTATTAGGTGTAGGGTTTAACGGATTGCACCACGCGACTCTACGCCCCAAGTTACCCCTATGTAGGAATTTTCAGCGGATTCCTAGGGGTCCGGCGAATCTGTCGCTAGAACTTCGCCGCCCTCTAGCGGGAAAAGTATTAGGTGTAGGGTTTAACGGATTGCACCACGCGACTCTACGCCCCAAGTTACCCCTATGTAGGGATTTTCAGCGGATTCCTAGGGGTCCGCGAATCTGTCGCTGAACGTCAATGTCAATAATTCGCTAAGTATACAGACGTAGTATGCGTGGGAGCAAGTTTTTTATTTTAGACGGCGATCCTGTGCCTTCTGAATTTATTATTGAGTGAAATAGTCTTGAAATAGTCTCTTGAAATGGTGAAATAGTCTTTTACGCGTGTCACTGGAAGCTCCACAACACTAGTTCACACTTAGTGCCCTGGTTCACAATCACACCTGAAGCTGCTGAACTCCTGCTGGTCTCAGCTGAAACGTTTTTGGGCTGAAAGTGATAGTATGCCTATATAAACTGTTTGGCAGTACTTTCAGAAGTTTTTATTTGTAGCTTCTTATCAGATGTAAACTACTTCAACTTGAACTTGGCTAGGCTATCAAGCTGTATGTGGCCATGTGTGTCTACATTTAACTTCAGACTAAATTCTGCATAGACAGGCATGGCATTGTACGATTGTGGGTCAGAGGGCTGAGCCAATGCAACTAGTAGGTAGTATGTACTGTACTGCAAGTTCTGTTCTTTGTCCTTGTGAATTCTTTCATTCAAAAGATTTGGACTTAATTTTGGGTATTAGTAGAGCAGACATCACACGAAGGTTTTCCAACCAAGGAGAGGCGCCATACCCGGTGGTGCTTCTTTCAAGGGAAACCTAAACAAACCTAACCTAACCTGACCTAACCTAAAACCTACAACCTACAAACCTACAACCTAAAAAACTACAACCTACAACCTACAAACCTTCCCTACAACCTACAAACCTACAGCGCCTCTCCTCGGTTGGAAAACCTTTGTGTGACGTCTGCTCTACTAATGCCTAATTTTGTATGTAAAAGCCTGTCAGTAACTCCCTATGTGCCATTTAATTGCCACAGAAAGGAGCTGAAATACCCAAAGTGAATGTTTTTTAATGCAGTCATGAATACGATTCATGCTAACTGTTTTGAAATTGCAAGTTCACTGATCTGATGATGACATTGAGGTGAAATGTATCTTTGATAAAGTGTTGTGACTTCCTTTTCAGATACTTCTTTTGTCGAAGAGTTGACAATATTCATAGCATGTTCTTAACCAAGCTACCAGGCTTTGGTATCATTCGCTATGCGATTTCCACAAGCATAATGGTTGGTGCTGCTCCTGAATATTATGCTGTCTGGCTTGGGTGGAGACTTTTCTCCATTCCACTGCCTGCATGGCTGTACCAGAAGGTGGATGATATGCTATATTCCACCTATCAGAGACTGGTGCTTCTGTTCTTTGAACATGGCACTGGCTTAAAGGTAAGATGACTCAATTGAAGGCATTTTATATTTAAACTTGGTACACCATTTAAAAAATATGACTGATTCAAACTACCTATGAATAAGCATCACAATGTAGGCACATGATTGTTAATAGGCAGTTCAAGTTCTTTATATTCAGTAGGTAGCTAATTTTATATAATTAAGTTGTAAAGTATATAAGTAACCATATAAGGAACTATATAAAGCAATAAAGTAACCATGTTCCATGTCTAGATATTCAGACTCAACCCCATGCTCAAATCAGGTCTTGTTGTTGGCCCTATTAGCCATAAGCTCCCTTCTCCAATCTTAAATTTGAAACTGTTATATACTGTTCAGTTACCCACAATTTTATTAATGTTTTTTTTTTTTTGCATTGCTGACACTGAAAAGATGACTGAATGTATTATTCTATGTCATTATTTCAGATCTACTTTTATGGAGATGCTGATGAAATATTCAAAAAGAAGGAGAATGTGCTGTACATCAGCAATCATCAAAGTACAGGTGTGTTTGTGTTTATGTAGGTATTTATTTGTGTTGCTTTTGATGAACCCATTTTATTTTGTTTGTGAACTGCATGCATGACTTAAAGTGCCTGGACTGGGTTTAGCCCAGTTGGCTATCAAATGGCAAAGGTAGGGCAGCCTGGCTGGCACTCCATTTTTCTTGAAGCTCTTGTCCAATAACTGGGCTATCAGTGTGGCATGTGTGGCAGGTGGCACTCCATATTCTTGATCAGCTTGCTCACTGCTCAAGTATGAGTGTATGGTGCTCATCATATTGCCATTAGATGAAATTGATGCTGCTCAGGCCATGGCAGGTAGTAGTTTATCATAGGATAACAACTGCTTTTTGTCAGTGTTCAGTAACACATTAGTACACCCTTTTTAGTGTAAACCTGGTGTCTGCTACTGCATGGTGTGTGTATGTGTGTGAGGGAGGGGTGCTGCGCCGTCTCGTGCCGTGAGTCACGGCCCGTGTCCGCTGACGCTGACCGATGTCTCTGTTCCCCGGACCATCCGGCGCCGCAGTCGACTGGGTGGCCTGCAACATGGTGGCGGTGCGGCAGGGCTCGCTCGGCCACCTGCGCTTCGTCATGAAGGACGGCCTCCAGTGGCTGCCGCTGTACGGCCACTACTTCTACCAGCACGGCTGCATCTACGTGCGGCGCGGACAGTTCAGACAGGACAAGATGATGCGCGGACTCGAGTATCTGCAGCAGGAGCGTGTACAGGTGAGCGGTACACGGGGAAGGATGCTGACGGACTCTGATCGACCTACGACGGTAGACCACCGCCCGCCGAGTGCTGGCTGACTGAACGGTCACCGAATATAGCCCGGACGGCGAACTAACCGCCGACTAGGATGACGGACTGCGCCGGACCACCGACTGACCGTCCGACCATCCGCTGGACATGCAACGGCCGGTCCGCCGCTGGGGCCGTCCGTCCGTCCGCCGCTGACCGCCGGTCCCCCTCCCGTTATGTCGTCAGTCGTGGGTGGCAGTGTTCCCCGAGGGCACCCGCTACGACCCCTCCAAGCCGGAGGTGATCCGGCGCTCCGAGCAGACTGCGCTCAGCAGCGGGTTCCAGCCGCTCAAACACCACCTCACGCCCAAAACCAAAGGTAAGGTGCATCGGAGGCCAGAAGAGATGTCAATCAGATACCAACTTTTTGGTATACCGATACCAAACTGATACCAACTTGGTATTTGGTATTTCAATCCTAATGTACTTGGTATTTGTTGGTATTATGAACCTTCACTTATGTATAAGAGGCTGAGAAATTGGTTAAAAGTCGGTATTTCCCTCATGTTATGAAGTTGGTTTGGTATCGGTATTTCTTCATGGTTTATGTTGGTATTTGGTTTGGTATTGGTATTCAGATTTTCTGTATTTGACATCACTAGAGGCCAGTCAAACACCATTTTTTGTCCTAAAATAATGATAGGACCCATTATAGGCGTGTCTCTTCTCCGTAACACTGGATGATGTCTTGCGATGCCGTATTGTGCCGCACATCTGATGCACCCGGTATGTAGTTCAGTGCCTGCCTATTCTGTGCCTCGCTTTCAGTACAACTATAGACCCACACACTACACGCCATCCCCTGTGACATTGTGTGCCTCTATGTAACCCCTGTGCCGCCGTGTCTCGGCAGGCTCGTGGCTGACGCTGGACCGTCTGCGCGGCTCGCTGGAGGCCGTCTATGACGTGACCGTGGTGTACGAGGGCAGCTATCGACACCGAGAGAGACGGCGGGCCAGGACCGTGGCGCTCATCGGTGAGCTGGCACGGCGACAGAATGGAACGGGAGGCACGCCGGTGCACTGATCGTGATGTCGCATAGTGTATGCGTGTCTGAGGAAAGTTAAAGTGTCTGGACTGCAGTAGTTCTTTGCTTTCTTATATTTCGTACTCGGTGGCCGTCACAACCTCGTGGGGTATCCCGTGGAGTAGCTTCGATGCCGTCATTATGGCTTGCATTTTTATTTCAGACTTCCTGCGCGGCTTCTGCCCGGCGATGCATATCCACGTGCGGCGTATCCCCATCTCAGAGGTGCCCACCGACGAACAGGAGTTTCAGCGATGGATGTACCAGCTCTACGAGCAGAAAGACAGGTAAGTGGCTGTGCTCGCTGTGCTTCGATTTACTGTGGATATACATTGACTATTCAGCATTGATAGTCTTGCCTGCCTGTGCCCGTGACCCAGTTGACCATGGCCCGTTCACTCCCACGCCGTGTCATCCCATGTTGGTGCGCTCAGGTCCTCTTCACCCGGCTTCCTGTCAATAGTCTCCGCCCCGTCCGTAGCCGGCGCTCCCCGCCCCGTCCTGCGACTGACCGTCTGTTCGCGGCAGGTTCGTGGCGCCGTTCTACTCGCCGTCAGACGACTCGGGCGCCGAGCTGGCGGCCCGGCTCGGCGGCCGGCCGCACCCCCTGCCTCTGACCGCCACCGTGCCCTCGCTGATGGCGTTCGCGGCGCTGGCCGTGCCGCTGCTGGGCTCTGAGCTGGGCCGCCGCCTGTACGCCGGCACTCTACTGTACGGCACGCTGGCCGGGTACCTGTGGCTTGGCATCCGGGCGGTCTGCTGAGCGCCCACCTCCGGCCGGCCGGCTGTGGCCCCCCAGTAGTAGCTCATCTAGACGTCTGTGTATCAGTTTGTGTACGTGGTGACTTTACGTGCTGTGATTACGTTCGGTGGTGACGTGAAATCGCACCTAATGCAATCCTTTTCCAAGACGGGTCGGTGTGCAGTCGGCGGCGACTAGTGCCACCCAGTGATACGAGAGGTGTCCTAAGAGGGACGGGCTGCTCAGAAACATCAGGGAGGTGAAGTCCTGGTAGTGCACAAACAGCCAGGTAGCTGGTCATTCAACCAGACCTGCCTTGAGTTGGTTTTTAGCTGTTTTACGCTGTACTTCTTACGGCCTTGCCCGTCTTGTGTCGCTGCCACTGAGTTTGAATGTGAGCTTACATTTTGACAACGGATTGTTCCCGCGTTCTGTGATGTCACGAGTCGGACAAGTCTCGCCGGCCTTATCATATGCACTTGGACGATGCTCGATGCACTCTCAGTCCTGACGTACCTGTTTGATTCGTTACGCCAACGAACAATCGAAACGGTAGGAGTGGCGCCTGCCCACTGCCTTTGACAATCGAGTTTACTATGTTGTGCATGCTGTGTGTGTCCTGCTATGCATATGCTGACGATCTCAACCCCGGCCAGAAATAAGCGGTATTACTGCACGCTGTTGCAGTTTGTGTCTGCGATTTGTTTGGTGATTGTTGTCTGTGCAATAAGCTGTGAAGTGTGCCGTGTCTAATAAACTACAGCGAATGTGCAACTGCCGACTTTTTCGGCTGACAACGAAGCATTTTCCACAGATATATCTCGGCAATATTGAATGAACAGCTTTCTAAGGAACCTACCATTTAACCACTTTATATAACGTAATTTTATCCATTATTTGAGCGACATCAGCAATCAATATATATTTCATAGTCACAAGAGCACACCGCGTAAAGAGTATGCTCAATAAACACATCTGAGTTAAAGCCACACAAACAGCACTGGGCTGCGAGCCGGACCATCCGGGCCGCAGAGCGTCATTTCATCAGATCTTTCCACTCTACAATGCACGCACGATTGGATAGTATCCTCCATTCCGAGGCAAGCATTCATAGAAGCATCACGTCCAGCCTCCAATCACTTCGGTGGCTGCTCATGATTATCCGGCGTAACAATGCTGAAGTCTCCATACCGATTACCCGCCTCTAAAACCAAGGCAGGCTGCGTCACTGCCTGTGCTGAGACGAAGTAAACGGTGAACAAGCGCAAGCCACCACCTACTCCACTCCTTGGGTTGAGGAGCTCTTTGTGGAGTGCTTTATCCGGTCTGCCTTCTCCGAGAGTTCAGAGACTTATCCATTAGAAGAAGGTGCTTTGGAGCCTCCGGAGTGTCTCGCCCGGCCAGTGACCACATGGAGTGCGTCATCCGGGCTGGGCTCACCGTGCTGTCCCCACAAGGGTCCATGTCTCGCGGACCTGGGCCCGGGGCAGAACCCTGTCCGAGCAGTCTGCCAGGAATATCCGGTATCCTCTGCGCCGGCCGCTACAGCCTCGTGCTGCCGTCTCGGTCCGCCGGCCGCTGGTCGTCGCCGCCGGCCGCCGGCGCCGCCAGCGCCACCGCCTGCAGCGCGCCCTCCAGACCGGTCTCCGTCTCGGCCGCAGCGGCGCCCTCCGCCCGGATCCCCGCCACGCCCTTTTTGGCGGCCGAGGCGAGGTCGCGTTTGACGCGCCGCCGTCGCGCCGGGTCCGAGCGGCGCAGCTGCAGCATCGTCTCGAAGTCGACCACGTACCGGTACCCGGCCACGAGCAGCTCGGCGCGCTTCTCGCCGCCCGTGAAGGCCGCCTCCAGGTCGGCCGCCGTCCGCTCGTCGTACTTCCACCAGCCTGAAACGGAGCCGTCGGCGTCAGCAGTGTATGTCCAGGGCAGGGGAGGGGAGAGGAACGCTGCTGAGCTACGGGCGAAAAGAACGCCGACACCATGCAGTGCCGACTGATCACAATAAACTGCTGCGGTACTGCGCTGAGATCGAGATTCCGCAATTCTCAGCCTACTTTAAACCAGTCGAATGCGGTAAATCACCCCTAATTAACAAATAACTGTTTTCATTTTGATTGCGTTCTAATTGTTCGTAATCTACAAAGTTGATCATATCTATGTAGAACTGCATGAGCACAATCCCTTACACTACCTTCTGAGCCAACTCTAACATGACATTTCCTTCAGACGGAGAGCATGAGAGAGAAGGAAAAGAAAAGAGGGGGAGTCACTAGCTGAGCATGACAAACCGTTGCGTCCCTCGTAGAACCACTGGTAGCCGTCGGTGAGCGCCATCTCGAGCTGGAGCTGCTCCGTGTCCAGCAGCAGTGGGTTGTCCAGGTAGTCGGCCGGCACCTCCGACCGGCACATGGCGCACCTGAGGGCGACGAGTGTTGTCAGAGACAGACAGAGAGACCCAGACACAGATTTACAGTCCACAGACATAGGCAGACACCTCCGACGGACACATGGCGCACGTGACGCCGAGTCCAGTCAGTGTTACAAACAAAGCACCGGTCACTGAACGGTAGCTACCGTTCAGTATAAATCAAACAAACACTTTGCACTAAACAGATGCCGATTGACCAGCCGGGGGAAAGTGCTTCGTTCGTGAGTTTTTGTGAACTCACCTTCGTGAGTTTTTGATGGCGCCCTTGGCGCAGAGGAAGCAGAAGACGTGCTGACAGGGCAGCTGCACCGGGTGGACGCAGGTCTGGAGGCAGATGGCGCAGTCGGGGCGGCCTTCCAGCCCTGCGGCCGAGCGGGGAGATCGTTAGACTCGGCAAACACGGATCGCACAGGTCAGACTGGAACGGCTATCACCGATCGAATAACACGACGATTTGCATGAAAAAAAAACATGCAGAGAAGCAAAGGCGTCATACCTCTGGTTTCACTTTACCGGTAAAAACGAATAATGCTTCAATAAAATGGAAAAATGCTCACCCTTTCGGTTTGATGTTTCATCGTTGTTCCGCGGGCTTGTACGGCAAGACGTTGGGCTTAGCGATGAAGGGGTTTCAGTATGTGATTGCATCTGGAAAAGTCCATGAAACCATATGTAATGTACAGAGATGCGACGAACATAGTCGGCGTTTTCGATAAATACTGTGCAAATATTAGAAACTCGCACTTGCTGTTCTCCATCATACAAAAAACAGCGATGGGAAAGGATCCTCTCACAACCGCGTTCCCAGGGTCCGATGTCGCCGTCTAGAATACCTACCCGACGCAGGTGCTCACCGTTGTGGCCGTGGCCGCCGCAGCAGTTGGCGGCGTCGGGACCCTCGCGGCTGGCTGGCCCACCACGGGACCGTCGCCAAACTCAGGGGGAGGCGGCGGCGGCGGAGGCGATTCTCGGCGACGCTGGGCACGTACCACGCCATGTCGACTCCGCCCAGCGCCAGTGACTGGCCTGGTTCTCGGAGAGCCAGGGCTGCCCTGAGCATTGTCAGTGTCCACGGCTCCAAACAATGATGAGCCAGTTTGAGGATGCTCTTCAGACACTGAGGTATCTTGGGTAGAATGACTGCTCAAGCCACCACCAGCTGCTAGGTTGTCATCTGAGCTTAAAGCATGGGTAGACTCTGAATGATCTTCCATGTCTTGACAATTATGTCCTGGGAAAGAAAATGCAATATTAGCCATCAAACAAAAAAGAGCTTTGATATCCATTGTGGAATAATTGGGATATTGATGGGGATGACTGAGGACTAAACAAAACATGGGGATGACCAAGGACTAACATGATTTATAAACAAAATTGGTACAGGTAAACCTGACGTCACTGCTGACAGAAACAGCAAGGCAGGTTGTCTGTTGTAGATTGCAAAACTCATTCCAATGCGCAGTCAAACCTTAACAATTAGCATAATTTTAATCCATGCGTCACTATTTTATTTTTAAACAAATTTGAAAACCATAAGTTGAAGATGTCTACTAGAAATTTGGAGCTCCAGCCTCCATATCATACCTACCTAACCATGTCAATGAATAATGAGATGTCAGTTAAAGTATTCTACCCTTAGAAGTAGATTAAGGTCAGCCCAAAGCAACTTTTCCATCTAGGTACTATTGGTCTCGAGATAAGGGCCCAGGCGACCTGTAGTTCGGATACGGTGAATACCCTCACCCTCGCCAAAACTCTAGAGGGGGTGGCGATGAGTGGGTGGAGGGGAACACTCGGCCGTGGTGATGGTAAGGGTATTCACCGCATCAAAACTACAGGTCGCCTGGGCCCTTATCTTGAGACCAATGGTAGGTACCAAACAAACCAGCGACGAGAGGTCAGAGGGGAGTGGCAAAACATGCTAAATATATATTGCTCTGCTAAGACCAAGGCCATATATAGGCTAGGACATGACTCAATTATCAATTTCTCAGGTTCTCAGGGCTACAAGTAAAAAAAGACGCGTGAAGGTTGTGGGCCTATGTAAAATGCAAGTATATGGCACGCGCATCTCTAGACGTGCCAGGGGTGCCAGACACTAATAAAACTATCAGTAAATCGCAGTAAATTGCGAAACTTAACAATTGTTTTTTGTTTTGGTTCAAGTTTGGTTAGGCTTGTAACACCCTGTTTACATGTGGAGATGTAGGATAAAACCTCATGGCATTTTGAGAAATTCCACATTTTATCTTGGCGAACTGCTCTCCTAGCCTGTTACAAAGTATCATATTATTTACATATTCGCAATAATGTCAGACCTCCGTTAATCAGGCCAACATACATGTACTCACGTGCTTTACTTTTACATTCAAAATTTAGGAACATCAGTGTGTGGAACTGGGAAAAAGTGTGGGAATAAAATGCACCATAGAAACATGGATTATTAAGTCATAACATAATGGCGACGAGGATGAGATGAATTTAACGTTATAAAGTAACGTAAACTTAGAGCGCCGATTAACGTAACGTTAACGCTACTAAAAGTAGGTAACGTAACGGAAATTAAAATGGCATTAAGTGTAGATGCCCCTCAGAAATATAGGGAGGGAGAGGACTTTGACATGTGGATAGATTCCTTTGAAATCTATTTATGTGCGCTTGGGATCGAGGAACCAAAACGGAAAAGAGCTTTGATGCTACATCTACTTGGAACCGACATACAGCAGCGGCTGAAAGACATCGACACGGTCTACGAAAATAATTTAGAGGGAACCGATGAGTACGAGCGTACCAAGCAGCAGCTGCGATCGCTGTTAAAGCCACAGGTCCGAACGATTTACGAGAGAAATATCTTTCATAGCATGAACATGACTGATAACGACGAGAACGTCCGAGATTTTGTTGTGCGTCTGAGAAAGCAAGCAGATAAATGCAATTTCTCGAGGGAACAGAGAGACGAAATGATCCGGGATATACTCATAGCAAGATGTCCCCATCAGACTTTGCAAGTTCGTCTGCTCGAAGCCCATAAACTGACTACAGAAGACGCGGTAAAAAGCTGGGAGTCCTATCTCCAAGTACGGACCCAATGCCAAAAACTTCAAGAGAAGAACGGCAAAGAGAAGGACCCCAGTCCAGAAACTGAGCAGTCTGAGCCACAAAACGAAAACGTCAACAGAGTTCGACAGAAATATCGAGCTCCATCCAAGCCATTCAACGGACAGGGACAGCGAACTTCCGCCGGAAGCGGAATTCCTGCCTGCACTCGGTGCGGACGAAGAGGGCATAATTCAAACGCCTGTACCGCGACGAAGGGTCAGACCTGTCACAAGTGCGGCGGCAAAAATCATTTTGCCAGGGCTTGCTGGTCTACTCAGACACGGCAGCCACAGACAACGCTGGAACCTAGAAGACGGGTAAACCACCTACAAGAAGAAAGCGCTGAACAGGGTGAAGATGAGCTGGTTTTCTCCACCAGACCGAAGAAGCCCATCCAAGAAAAGCTGAAACAGGGACTGACTGAAATATTGATCGAAAATACCAAAATCCAAGTTCTGGTCGACACAGGCGCGTCCGTCGATATTATCACCCGAAAAGATTTCAAGAAGCTGAAAGGTGTAAAGGCGACAAAAACAAGCAGACGGCTTCTGCCCTACGGCACCAAAGAAGCACTGAAGCTCGATGGAGAATTCCTGGCACGAAGCCAAGTCGGAGGAAAGGAAGCACTCAGCTGCTGGATCATTGCGGCGCACGGAGATGTGTCCTTGCTAAGCGGAACCACCGCGGAGCTCCTGGGACTTGTGATGCGCACCGATACGGTGAACCAACTGGAAACAGACGGCGGTTCCCGGCTGACACTCAAGAAAGTGCTAGCAGACAACCAGGAAGTGTTCAAAGACGAGCTTGGACAGATGGCCGATCTGACAGCGAAGCTGAAGCTCAAAGATGACGCCGAGCCAGTCTTTAGGAAAGTAAGACCGGTTCCGTACGCCCTTCAAGACGCCGTCGATGAAGAGCTTAAAAAGTGGGAGAAGATGGGCATTGCTGAGCGGATTGAATATTCCGACTGGGCTACGCCGCTAGTCGTTGTCCCAAAACCAGGCGGCGGAGTGAGGCTGTGTGGAGACTATAAACACACTGTCAATAAGCAGCTCGACGTACCACAGCACCCGATGCCCAACCTGGAAGATATGCTACCAAAACTGGCTGGAATGAAGTATTTCAGCAAGCTCGACCTCAGCACCGCATATCTGCAAATGAAGATGGATGAAGAGAGCCAAAAGTTTACGGTGTTGAACACACCGCGAGGACTGTTAAAAATGAAACGGCTCCCCTATGGAATATCCTCGGCTCCTGCTACATTTCAGAGGGCCATGGAGAAAATTTTGGAAAACTCACCAGGAACAATGTGTTTCCTGGATGATGTTCTGGTGGCTGGAGCTACGAAGGAAGAGGCACTCAAGAGGCTGGACCAGACTCTGCAAAGACTGAGAAGCTGGAAGCTGGTCTTGAAGCAGGCCAAATGCAAGTTCCTGCTGTCGTCGGTCCAGTACTTAGGAGTGGAGATCAGCGCTGCGGGAGTCCAAACGGTGAAAGAAAAGATCGACCCGGTGTTACATGCACCGCCACCGCGAGACACAAGCGAATTGAGAAGTTTTCTCGGAGCAGTCACATTCTATGCAAGATTTATACCGGACATGTCGTCAGTGGCTGCGCCGCTATACAAGCTTCTACAGAAGAGAGAAAAGTGGCGATGGACAGCTACAGAAGAGCAGGGATTTAGCGAGCTCAAGAAGAGACTTGCTTCAGCACCAGTACTGGCACATTATGACGGATGCCGGCCCGTAAGGCTCATTACGGACGCTAGCCCGCACGGCGTAGGAGCCGTGTTGATGCAGGTTGGAACAGACGGGACGGAGCGACCGGTCCGTTTCGCCTCCAGAAGCCTCACCAAAGCCGAGAAAGCCTACTCCCAGTTCGATCGAGAAGGACTAGCAGTCATCTTTGGAGTAACCCGCTTCAAGCAGTACCTGTGGGGCAGAAGATTTACTTTAGTCACCGACAACAAGGCACTAAGCTCGATATTCGGGCCCAAATCAGAGGTACCAGCCCTAGCCACAGCGCGAATGCATCGATGGGCGCTGCTGTTAGCGGCATACAGCTACGAAGTTGAGCACCGGAAGGCAGAGGAAATACCCATGGCAGATTTTCTGTCCCGTCTTCCTTACGACAAGCCAACCGGAACCCGAAACGGCCCAGATGAAGCCACTGTATGTTTTCTCGAGCAGATAGAAAACATGCCGCCACTCAGCGCCAGAGACCTGCAGCGTGAAACCAACAGAGATCCAGTCCTGTCTGAAGTTGCAGAGCATTTACACAGGGGATGGCCAAACACCGAGTCGTCCTACAGCAGGGAAGCGCAGCCCTATGCAAACAAAAGAGCACAGTTGTCCCTCAACAATGGCTGTATCCTGTGGGGCAGCAGAGCCGTGATACCAAGCCGCCTCCGAAAAGCAGTGCTGGCTGAGCTGCATGAGAGTCACCCAGGGGCCACAAAGATGAAGATGCTGGCTCGCAGTTATGTCTGGTGGCCGAATATTGACCGTGACATTGAAGAAATGGTTAAGTCCTGTTCAGGATGCCAGTCCGTACAGAACGAGCACCCAGCAGTGTTTCTCCATCCATGGGAACGCACATCGAGACCTTGGGATCGAGTTCATCTGGATTTTGCAGGGCCATTCAGAGGAAGTTACTTCTTGGTGGTTGTAGACAGCCATTCCAAGTGGCCAGAAGTTATAATGATGAAGGACATCACAACTCAGAGTACGATCACCGAACTGGCAAAGATATTCGCCAGATGGGGAAATCCAGTTCAGTTGGTGACAGATAATGGCACCCAGCTAACCTCAAAAGACTTTGAAGATTTCCTGACAAAACAAGGAGTCAAACACATCAGAGTATCGCCATACCGACCGCAAAGCAATGGATTGGCTGAGCGTCTGGTGCAAACGGTAAAGAACAGCCTGAAGGCTCACCTGAGCGGAGGGGACCAGCGTCCACTTGACCTTCAGCTGGCCTCTTTTCTCCTGCAGTACCGCAATACTCCTCATACCACAACAGGGGTGGCACCAGCAGAGGCCATGACCGGAAGAAAGATGAGGACGAGGCTGGACTTGCTGAAGCCCCGCACTGAAGAAAAGGTCATGAATGCCCAAGCTAGCCAGATGCTACGTCACAGCCAAAGACTACCCGAGTATGAAGCTGGAGATGAAGTTCTGGTCAGAAACTACGCAGGAGGACAAAAATGGAAAAAGGGAAAGGTGATAGGCCGAACCGGTCCAGTGTCTTACCAAGTCACAGTGGAAGGGCTGGTCTGGTCAAGGCATGCGGGACAGCTCCTACTCCTGCCCTCCAAGGACTCGAAGAAGGAGCAAGATTGTGGTGACAAGTCAAAACATCGGAGCATGAGCAAACATCTTGACTTATGTCCACCGCCTCCGCAAGCATCCTCAAGTCTGCCTAATCCCAGAGCAGAAGAAATTGCATTGGAGGAAGAACAAGGATCCTCAGATCCTCCAGAAATCCCCGAAACACAAGACACTACAGGCCAGAGCAGCCCTCACCCATCCGCAAAACAGCTGAAGCAACCAGAAGGTGTACCGCCACAACCGCCACCTGCTACCCAAGCTTCTCCAAAGGCGGTGACCAGGGCAGGGAGGACCTGTCGTCAACCATGGTGGCTCAAGGACTTTGTTATGTCTTAGTACTACTGAGCAGGAAGTGCAGTTCATTTTTTAAGGGTGCGAGAGTGTTACAAAGTATCATATTATTTACATATTCGCAATAATGTCAGACCTCCGTTAATCAGGCCAACATACATGTACTCACGTGCTTTACTTTTACATTCAAAATTTAGGAACATCAGTGTGTGGAACTGGGAAAAAGTGTGGGAATAAAATGCACCATAGAAACATGGATTATTAAGTCATAACATAGCCCAAGAAATATGCCAAGAAGCCTGAATATTTCGCCTATTAAGGCAGAGTCCGCCTTGAATTTCAATAGAACTTTTGGCTAGTATTGAGGTGTTTAGGCCAAGAGAAGAAGAAAGTAAAAATATGGCAGCACTTTAGAGCGCAGTGTGAGCACAGTTTGCACCACATTTGAAACTCTCGCGTCAGTAATTGTCAAACAATTGTATTAGGTGTTTTCCAGTGGTATAAGGTGTACCTGTATTTTTTGTGAATTTCATAGCCACGTCCTCTAGTGCCAGTGCGGACAGTTTAGGTAATTTCAAGATATCATTCAAATCAAAGATCAATATGTCATTCAAAATTCAATCAAAGAGCAAGCAAGACACGTAGAATGCCAAGCAGCTCGTTTCCTTGGACTTTTTTGCTTTACTTCAACTTTCAAGGAAGTTGAAGTAAAACAAGGCTGTTTGGATAGCTTACCTTTCCCTTGTCGATAATTTCTACTCCAGATACAGATCATACAGGCTTTGTTCCAGCTGGAATCGCTGGCATGATTTTTGTTCTGAGACACAGCACCCCTACTGCCACACAGTCCACACTGAAATCAAAATAGAACCTCTATTAGGAGTTCGGACAATTTTGACTTAAACATAGATCAAAGCCAACTACCAGCTGTTATGATGCATTCACCTCTAGATCAAGATGCTGCCTGCTGTGGGGTGTGGTGGTGGTGGTAGCGATGGTTTTGTTGCCCACGACAAACCATTTTGTTGAAGCAGAGATTTGTGATGATGCTTCCTCGAGTCATAATTGCAGTGTCCAATTGTCAACTCGTTGGGTAATGTATTGGCTTCATTTATGACAGTTTTTATTTTTCCAGGTACCAGGCTGCCCCACTTAATCAGGAGCATGGCAGCTGCTTTCATGGAACTGGGCATAATGCCCGAGATAGGGGAGGCAGTGAGTGAGCTGGACTGGCTGCTGCCCACTGATGTTCAGGCCGAGGCTGTGCCTCTGATTCTTGGTGGTGGTGATGTTCTCATGGCTGCTGAAACTGGATCTGGCAAAACTGGTGCCTTCTGCATGCCCATCCTTCAGATTGTCTGGGAGACACTGAAGCACATTGAGGAGGGAAAGGGCGGCGGCGGTGGCGGCCTGTCAGCTCCGCCAGCTGATGACAAGTGGGCGATGTCGCTGCGGGACCGAGGCGAGCTGCTGGCAGTGTCTCCGGACGGTCTGGTGTGCCAGTGTCGCGAGCAGCGCGCCTGGTACGGAGTGCGGGCGACGCGCGGTCTACGGCGCGCCGGCCGCTGGTACTATGAGGCCACGGTGACCGACGAGGGTCTGTGTCGCGTCGGCTGGTCCACGCGCCAGGCCACTCTCGACCTGGGCACCGACCGTGGCGGATACGGCTACGGAGGCACCGGCAAAAAGTCCAACAACCGCCAGTTCGACGACTACGGAGGTCCGTTCGGGAAAGACGACGTGATCGGTTGCTACCTTGATCTGGACAACCTCGAGATGTACTTCTCTAAGAACGGAAAAGATCTGGGAAAGGCGTTTGACATCCCAAAACAGGTGGCAAACGAAGGTTTGTTTCCCGCAGTCGTACTGAAAAACGCTGAGATGGCGTTTAACTTCGGCGACACCAGTTTCAAGTATCCACCAAGCCATGGTTTCGTGGCCGTCAGTAAAGCACCGGAAGACAGCACCTTGAACAACGCTGCTTCGGCGCCGCAGACAACGGCGAAGCGCGGATACGCCAAAAATGCTCCCCAGGCCATTATTCTGGAACCATCTCGTGAGCTTGCCGAACAAACGCTGCGGCAAATCCAGCTGTTCAAGAAGCATCTGAAAGCTCCAACAGTGCGGGAGGTGCTTCTCATCGGTGGTGTGCCGGCCCGCGAACAGCGTGACCAGGTGTTAGCGGGGGTCGACATCGTGGTGGCCACACCGGGTCGAATCGAGGACTTCATCAACAACGGCGACGTACGGGTGGACGCGTGCCGGTTCTTCGTGCTGGACGAGGCGGACGGGCTGCTGAAGCAGGGTCACGAGAAGATGATCAACCGTCTGCACGCGGCGATCCCGCAGGTGACGCCGGACGGGGCGCGGCTGCAGATGGTCGTCTGCTCGGCCACGCTGCACTCGTTCGAGGTGAAAAAGATGGCCGGTAGACTGATGCACTTCCCTACCTGGGTGGACCTGAAGGGCGAGGACGCCGTGCCGGAGACGGTCCACCACGTGCTGACCATGATCGACCCGCGCACCAACGCCTCATGGACCGACCTCAAGCAGCGCGTGCAGACGGACATGGTGCACGCGAAGGACAACGTCCGGCCCGGCTCGAACTCGTCAGAGACGCTCTCCGAGGCTGTCAAACTACTCAAGGCAGAATTTTGTGTCCGCGCCATCGACGTCCACAAAATGGATCGTGCACTCATCTTCTGTCGAACCAAGCTAGACTGTGATAACTTGGAGCGGTACCTGGTTCAGCGCGGCGGCGGACCGCGTAGCCCCAACAACCCCTACTCGTGCGTGTGCCTGCACAGCGACCGCAGCGTCGGCGAGCGAAAGGATAACCTGGAGCGCTTCAAGCGACAGGAGGTGCGTTTTCTGATCTGTACGGACGTGGCGGCCCGCGGTCTGGACATCACCGGCCTGCCGTTCATGATCAACGTCACGCTGCCGGACGAGAAGACGAACTACGTGCACCGTATCGGCCGCGTGGGCCGCGCCGACCGGATGGGTCTGGCCGTCAGCCTGGTGTCCGCTGTTCCGGAGAAGGTGTGGTACCACGGCTGCCCGTCGCGCGGCAAGTCCTGCATGGACACTCGTCTGACGGAGCGCGGCGGCTGCTGCATCTGGTACGACGAGGTGAAGCTGCTTGGAGAGATCGAGGAACACCTGGGTATCACCATCCCTCAGGTGGGCAACGACCTGCGCGTGCCCGTCAACGAGTTTGACGGCAAGGTGGTCTACGGCGAGCGGCGCCAGGAGAGCGGCACCGGATACCAGAACCACGTGGAGCAGATGGCCTCCACGGTCCGCGAGCTGGCCTCGCTGGAGACGCAGGCGCAGACGCTCTTCATTCGACGCCACCTGCACCGGTTGACCGCCTGAACGGCCACCCCCAGCCCCGCCCGATGTGATATAGGTACCCTGTCCTGCCAGTGATCTGGAAAACCTCAGACTATGCTAACCACGACAGACGGCCCTCGGCTGAGAAGCGGCCTGGCAGGGCGCGTATGATCGTGGTTGTTTTGGACGTTTCTGCTGTGTAGTGGGTCTTGTTTTGCACTGGTTCGTTTCAGTCACTATGAGCGAGCCATCGTTTTGTTACGAGCGATTCGAAAATATATGTCAGCTATGAACATACACCCTAGTTATTTACCCACCTTCGGCAATTTATCAAACTCTTAGATATAAATTGAACTTACAATCTGAAGTTGAAATTAGGATGGAAACCGATAAATTACTAGTCAGGCGAAAGCTAACAGAGAAGATTGCTTGCTGAGTTAGCAACGTAGCCATTATCACTCTCAAGCTTATCGTCACCTCTAGCCCAGCCGAAAATAACCAGCTTGTGAAAACATCTACCGTAATTGAACACGCTGCACGTCAACAGCAAACACGACTCCGGTGTCCGCGGATTTATTGAAATTGCTAACGCCGCCGCCGATCTCTCCATGGCCCGCACGGAGCAGTGGTGCGCGCGCTCGCCGCTCGCTGCCACTCACACGGTCTCACCCACGGGCGGGCGGCACTGGTTGGCTCAGGCTTCTCTGACGCCGCGTAACCGGGCACTGGCGGCGCGGCGGCACGACAGGGGTGCGGGCATGCAGCCGACAGGCCACAGGGCCGGCCGGGAAACCGAGGAGAGCCGAGCGTGCCTCAGTACGGTATAACGGTACTGCGTCAGACCCAGTGCAAGGCTTGTCCCGGTCCATAGGGACAGTCAACGTCGGTACGCAGGTGGCGGGCCGCCGTCTGCTGCAGCAGCAGGTCGCCGCCGCTAGCCTGACCTGAGCGGGTCAGGGCCGCCTCCGCGGCTAGTCTGACGAACTGGCTCATCGCGGCCCCTGTTGCTCGACCGTCGGCCTCTCGCTCGCCCCCGCGACAGCCTGGGTCGCGCACGGCAAAACAAAGTAACCAGCAAAAATAAGAATATAAGCAACAGTATCTTTGTTACTAAGCTAAATGCGGCTGGCTGCGGCTGTGCGGCGGCTTCGTGTCGTGGCACGCCGCACCGACCGCGGTGGGTCTGGGCCGACTCGTGCGCCCACCGGCCGCCGCCGTACGGCGGGGAGCCCCGCGCCGCCGCACACGGCACACCCACACGCACTCCGGCAAACCCCGAGAGCTAAGATAAGATTTACGTGCGTAAATAAAGTAATTGCCAAACATCTCACGATAAAAGCACCAAGGCCATGAGAAGACGGGCACTGCAAGGGCGGCCGGGCGCTGCAGCGTTTAGTATCCTCACTGGTTTCCACGCCAGATTCACTCCTGCTGCTTCACACATCGGTGCGACTCACTCACTAACAACGCAACCTTCTTAGGGCCCTTCACGAAGTTGACATTTGCCGGAAATCTAGAAAATACAAAACACTTTGCGGCCGCTCACCAATGAAAGTAGCACCGGGCGCGACAGCGGGCGCGCGCCCATCACACTTTTCGGCGGCGTGCGCACGCGAAACTTGAAGCGACTCCCGTCGTGTATTTGCGAGGGGTCGTCAGCTCGTGAAAGACCCTGAGCTTGCTGTGTGGCGGGGCCAGCCCTGCTGTGGCCCGACCGGCGCCGGGGCGCACACGTCACGTGATGTCCGACTCTGTCCCCGCGCCCGCCGTGTGGCGCTGGCGCGTCGGTCACATGACCGGCGGCGCTGTCACATGAGTCGGCGTCGGACGCCGCTGGGCGCGGGCTAGAACTCGAACCGCGGCGGCTGGTCCTGGTCGATGGGCGCGCCCGGGGCCGTCTCGTCGCCGGTCTGAGGGAGGACGGCACGGGTCAGAGAGGGGGCAGAGGACGGCGGGTTCGACACCTGACGCAGGGTGCTGCGGGGCGGGGCAATTGGCAATGAAAAATAATGTGGTGCCATCCCAGATTGGAGAATGCATGCAAGTATTGGCGGACAGCAGCAAAAAAGCTCGTGCAAAAAGGTGTATAAAACCAAAACACCAATTAAATAAATGAAGAGCGCGATGTGGTAAAAGATTTCATGGATTATTATTCAGAAACCCTTACTTTTTCGTTATCACTCCACCGTTTCCAAATTGGCAAGCACAGCCTGACACTGGTGAGTCGGAATGCAGCTGAGGGCGACCGATTTACTATATTCCCGGTCAGAGCTCCGACGCACGTACGGCAGCTCGCCAACCCACCTCTATATCCTCTGAGAAGTACCGCTCGATGATGTCGAACGTCAGCTGGTAGATGTCGGGGTTCTCGTGGCTCTGCAGCGCCTCGATCTTGTCCAGGCCGCCGCACTCCTCGATTATCTGCGCCACCGCGTCCACGTCTTCGCTCGACTTGAGGATGTTGTTGAGGCCGTCCAGCACCACGTGGACGACCTGAGGCGGCGGCGGCGGGATCGTCAGACATGCATGCATGGACGGGACGAGACAGGTGTCACTGAACATCAGACACGGATGGACAGGTCAGCTGGTCCGGAATGCGTTATTGACTCCAAATCCAGCGTTCTTTTATGTGACCAATAATTATCATTCAAATAACTGCAAGCCACGTGTCAATACGGCGAACAAACGATCACCGATTGCACACACATCAAACTCCGTGTGGCCGTCTCTCAGACATAGATAAATCCCTGGCCGTCCGGCCGCGTGAGCCACCTCGGTCCCAACGGCCGGTCGGTGTTCTCACCTGCGGGTCCTTGCAGTCGAGCAGCTGGCACATGGGCGGGATGCCGCCGGCCTGCACCAGGTGTCGGATCTGCTCCGGACTGCCGCTGATGGTCAGGTTGCTGATGCACCAAGCGCACTCCTTCTGCGTCTGGAACTCGCCTCGGGCCAGGTGCTGCACCACCAGCGGCACCAGGCCGTGCTCAATCACCAGCTGCACCTGCTCCTGGTTACCGGCCGTGATGTTGGACAGGAACCAGGCCGCCTCCTGTGGGCGGAGACACGGCTGTCAGACAAGGCAGCACAGAGGTATGATACCGTAAAGCCCTGGCTTCACTATTTGTTTTCTGCGTGCGTTTTTTTTTGCCAATTTGCGTGTTTGCGTAATATTGTTCTAAGAAAATATTACGTTTTTGTGATGTTATTTTATATTAGCTTTTAGTTAATATAGGTTGTATTAACTTTTATACATAAATAATAAAAAATATTAATTATAACTTTTCTAGAACGATATTACGCAAAACACGCAAACTCGCAAAAAACGCACGCAGAAAACGCACAGTGTGTCCAGGCCTTAACACTACGGTCACAATAGTCAGACGGTGGTAACTGCTGAAAGTGGCGACGGGTGCACGGCCGGTATAACTCTGGCAAACACTGCGAAACACCAAATCCTTCGCAAAACTATTGCACGTCGATTTACTTGACGATGTCCGACAGTGTAACAGACCATTCTCTCTTGAACCATAAACATTCCCTAAAATGAGGCTCACGCTGGGGTAAATGATCGTCGCGATCGGCTTTGTCTCTCTCACCTTGTTGATTTTCTCGCGCGGGTGTTGCAGCAGGGCAGGGAAGTGGGCCAGCGCGCCACAGTTGAGCACCTGCTGCGTCTGGTCGTCGGTGCCCGTCACAATGTTACCCACCGCCCGCAGCGCCGCCGTTTGGACCTGTGACGTCAGACATACGGTATACAGTGTGATATCACAATTTTACCCACCGCCCGCAGCGCCGCCGTTTGGACCTGCCATGGCGTGAAACACTATCAGTCCCGCTGGAGATTGGGAAAATGCAGCATAAAACCAGCTAGCACAGGACTGCTTAGAGGCCCCTGGTTAAATTTACCACCTCGATTCCGCTAAATAACGCCGGTAAAACGTTGCAACTGAGGTTGGTGGATATGCCTCAACTCAACACATACCCCTGTATACCGCGGTACTCAAAGGTATATGGCCTCACCAACCGTGCCCGGCAGGTTACTGCTTTCAGCTACCGTGGGGGAATGGAGAGGGAAGAGGGGTGCATCACTAGCCCCACACCCCCACCGCCGTACCTTGGTCTCTCCGTGCCAGCCCCCCCCCCCCCCCCATACCTTGGTCTCTCCGTGCGAAAGGAGAGGCACCAGGCGCGGCACGACGCCCGAGTCGAGCACCATCTGGATCTGGTCGTTGCCGCCGTCGGTGAGGTAGCTGACGGCCCACACGGTGTCCACCAGGATCGAGACGTCCGTGTGCTGGATCAGCAGGTTCAGCGAGGGCAGCAGCTCGCGGATCGTGTCCGGGGACGGTGGCGGCGGCTTGTTGCGGCACAGATTCACCAGCACCTGCGCACGAACAGACGGGGGCAAACACGGCACTAAGCAAACGCACAAACAGTGCAGGGCGAAACCCAGCTAAGGAAGTAGCATCACAACGCGGAGCAGATGGACAAATTTATACCCCAACAGTACACATGTGGGCCGGCTTGAAATGAAATATTCCTTTGGTACTTGAGCGACCTAAAATAAATAAATAAATAAATAAATAAAAAATAAATTAAAGTTCAAATCTACATATAGCACACTTGTAAGCTTTCCTCAAAAATAGCTTGTTGACTTGAGCGCTATCGTGGCTCAATGAGTTTTTAATTCAAACGCTACACCGCACTGCAAATTTAGCTAGCTGAACCAAACTTCGGCTGAATACAAACTCAACAACTTTCTAGCTTCCGTATGCTAATCGTTCGTATATAGCGCTCTCTTCTAGTACACTGGACAAGTGTAAATACGAATAACAGCCAAGGGCAGCGGTCACCAGCTCAAGAGCGGTGACGAATCTCTAAAATGACCTTCACATTCCCCTGAATCTAGGTAGTAGCTGGCAGCTTGTAGCAAGATTACTTTACTACTCTTGTAGTAAAGTGGCTTGTAGCACCACAGACTTGGGACATTTCAGTCCGAGCCGAGAGAAAAAAAAACGACCAAAATACGAGCCGAGAGGAGGAGAAATAAAATAAACTGAGCAGTGCGCATGACTGTCTGACTGCAGAGTCTTTAGCTGAACCCACCCAGGTGACGTTGCGGAGGAAGTTGAGCGGTATCTTGTCGTTGATGAAGGCGATCAGCGGCTGCACGATGCCCAGACTGATGACAAAGTCACGCAGCTGAGGACCGTCGCCGATGATGTTTCCTGCGGAGGCGCATACAGCGGTCAGCGAAGGAAAGGTTGGAAACTGCCACTCCTGCGGCGCTCAGCTTCGGTCAGTGTCAGTGCTGACACAAGTATCGGAACCGGGGGCAGCCTGGGTGCAGTGCGTATCCGGCACAGCTCAGCTACTCACATCCCTCCTTCGTAACAGCAGATACCAGAGCAGTGTGCAATATCAACTCCCCAGTAGATAGGTACTGAACCAGTGCACGCATCAACATTCAGCGACCACCAAGTCAGTGCACAATACGCCGCGCAGTTATCAAGTTGCGATGGTTGCCAAATCAGTCAGGCATCGCAAGAGCACTGCGTACTATTTCATCAGGCCAGCTCCCAGATAACTCCAATGCAGTAGGTATTCTACCCAGTGACCTCCGCGGCGCCCCGTCCGTCCGCGACTCACCGAGCGCCCAGACGGCCTGTTCGCACACCTGCGGGTGTGGCGAGCGCAGCAGCCGCAGAAAGTGCGGCGTGGCGCCCGCCTTCACCACGGCCTCAGTCTGCTGCGTGGTGCCCGAGGCGATGTTGGTCAGCGCCCAGCACGACTCGAACTCGAGGGCCGGTCTGCGGGAGGGACGGCGAGCGGCGAGCACGGTCAGAGGCGGGGTGTCACAACTGGGGCACATTGAACAGTGTATAGTGGTAGCCACTGATCAGATATAGCCTGCCACTGTTACCCAGTCGCAGTGGCCGCAGTGATCAAGACACGGTGACAGAAACTGAACAAACACAGTCTACGATGACATCCGGCAGCACAAAGTGCCCCTGCACCGTAACTCACTCGTGGTACGTTACAACAGAAACAGTCCAGATTCTCCGTGTAAAAATGGACCGAACCGAAACTACAATGGTGGTCATGTATTGCAAGGCAAAGATGGCATTCGGCGAAAGTGCAAATATTCTGTCCAGATCTGGGGACAAGCTGCAGAGGCCCGGGTACCGTCATTGGTCACAGTCACGTGGGTTATTCAATCAGTTCGTTTATTATCATCTACTCACTCGTCCTCGGCCTGCAGGCAGCGCACCAGAACCGGCAGTACGCCGCCGCGCACCAGCTCGTCGATCGGCGGGTTCTTGTCCGAGCTGAGCAGCTTGCGGATGGCCTGGACGGCGGCCAGGCGCGCCTGTGGGTCGCTGCCGTCCGCCGCCTCCACCAGCTTCTGGAGGCTGTCCACCGAGTGCTGCCGCTCCATGTCGTCATCGTCTGCGGCCGGCCCGGGCGGGGGTGAGGGGGCGGACGGCACGGCCGGACGCTCGCCGGCGCTCGGGCGGCACCGGTCGGCGGTGGCGCCGGCGGAGGTCGGCTCACCCGACTCGGTGGAAGGATCACTGTCAGCAGGAGCCTCGTTCGGAGACTGAGTAGGCCGACCCGAGCGGAGTATCATGACAGGAGCGTTTGAATGGTTCGGATCGCAATCGCAGTCGTACAATCAGTCACTCACGAATTTGTTGAGACAACACGAACTTTTTCACAATACATCATTGATGTTAACAATGAGCGGCACAGTTCCATCACTAAAGCGTTTTCGACGTTTAGATGTTCGATTAGAGGAATGAAAAAGAATTGGAAAAGAAGCATAAAAATAGCGATTAGAGGAGCAATACTTGTTTTAGAGCATTATATCGGCGAAAATATCATCCGTGGCACATAAGGATAAAAAATATTGCAGCAACTCAGTCAGGTGACGCCGGTGACGCAAAATAAAACACAGCAAATGGGCCTAGAAAACACGCGACATCACTTTCAACCTAACTTATGATGGAAGAAAATGACTGGAGAAAACAATGGGACTGACCATATGGCCTTGGACTGACCGTTCCCTAATGACATCATATTTAGACTGTGATTAGAGCGATATCGCACCAGTTTTATCAATAAGAAAAACGAATTAAATGAATGAATCAAATAGGCAAAGACTTGGACCACATTAGTTTTCAGGTGAAGGTAGAAAGTACCCAATTAATACGATGTTTTTCAGAATTAAACCGTTTAGAGATAGGTACCCGAGCTGTAAATTGAAGGAAATAAAAGAGCATCGTGCAAGTGGCATTAACCCTGGCCGGCACAGGCCATTTTGCGTCCTTTGACGGCACAAGGGTGGGGGTTGGTACGACCCCCCTCGCGTTTGGCCCCAGATCGAGCTAGAGCTTCGCGGAAAAGACGAGCGTGTTGCCCGTGACAAGAGGAAGCCGATGATACCAACTTTTGAGGTCCTAGGTCATCGGTTCCAGGTCAAGTCAATGACGCAAAAGTCGGGAAAATCGGGACCTGTTCGAACGTCGTAGTGTGGCTGCTATGGGGGTTTTCGGGGTGCTGATCACGAATATCATGTTAGTTTTGATCACAGATGATGTCTTAATGCATTTAGGCCAGGTCGGGTCGGGTCAGGTCAGGTCAACCAGTAGGGGTCATGCCGGGTATTCGTAGTACGAATCAACCGCCTCTGACAGCTTCGCAACATGTTAAAAAGGCACCAAAACTACTTCGTAAATGTTCAAATGGTTGCTAAATTCGAATTCAGCTCCAAAAAAGCCTAGAAACATGCAAAACTCGTTTAAGTAGACCGAGGTTACCAGAGGTCAATGACCTGACCTGACCTTCAGGTGACCGTGACATCCACCCTAATGCATGGGAGCAACATCAAATCACATGTTTGAACGCTTGAAACCATGAAAAGTATTATGTATGTATGTATGTATGTATGTATGTATGTATGTATGTATGTATGTATGTATGTATGTATGTATGTGTGTATGTATTACCATCATGAACAATCCACACGAGGCGTGGCGATTACAGTACAGACTGCAAACGCACGGCTAACGCGAGACGACATACGCCGAAACGCGATTCCGGCCAAACATGGTCTCGAAAAGTAGGTCACAGGTTAAAGGTCATTTGGGTCAGGGTCGTGAAAGTTTTAGGGTAGGTGTAAAATTGATCAACGCGATTACTGAAAGTTTCGTCGCGATCAGCCGCTTTTTACGCAAGTTATTTGCGAAAAACATTAGGGGGTTGCATCAACCTCCCCCCCCCCCCTACGCCGGCGAGGGTTAATAACATTACAGGTCATTTCTAGTTGGAAATATTCCGCTATGTGTAATGGCTAATATAACTGTATAACCCTATCATTGCAACGCCACCCAGCAACTAAGCAGCAAGCAGCAACTAAATGTCTCACAACTCGTAAAGCCCACCACTTTGTAAAATACAGCGCACTCCACCCTCGCCCCCCCCCCCCCCCCACACACACACAGACGGCACACACCTACCTGAAGGTCTCCCTCCTGTCCTCACCTGTCCCGTCTGGCTGCAGCGGTACATTTCTCCGCTTCTGAAGTGTCTCTTCCCGCTTGTGCTTTCTCAGCTCAACTGTGACTTCGTTCCTCCTCCTCCGCATCTCCTGCAAGAAAAAGGACATACCATTGTTTGTGACACCAAACGCAATTTCAGATTCGTTCACAGCAATCCAGTTGATTAATCCTCGCCTGTATTCTGCCTTTTTACAGCGTCTAACGAATAGGGAGGGGAGAGTGGGGGTCCGTTGGACCCTCCCCTACCGTTTGGCCCCTGATCGAGCTAGAACTTAGCAGAAAAAAGCGTGCTCCCCGTAACGAGAGGAAGCTGATAGTAGGGGAAAGTGGGGTAAGACGGTCAGGGTAGGTAAGACGGGCACCCCTTCTGCAGACCAAACCAATAGCGCTACGAGCAAGAAAAGTTAGGACCAGAATTGCCTTTCCCACTACACACCACCATTCAAGTCTGGTGAATTTGTGTTCAGTCGATAATCTTTTATTTTGATTTCTTTAAAACACTCATTTCATTGAAAACATCCATAATGTATTGTGCAAGCTTTTGTGTACAGCACTATAGAGTTAAAAACTCGCAATCACTTGTGGTACACTCATATGCCAACAGTGTTCATTTACGGCGGATTTGCTTTGTCTGCATCAAATTGTCCACAGCGAAAAATCGTGCTGAACTTCTGACATTGAGTTTGGGGTAAGACGGGCAACTATGAACCCAATGGGTCTGTAATGGTGAAAATATTTTTGTTGCTGTAGGAAAAAAGAAGCATTTCTAATAAGAATATGTTCGATTCCGATACTCACAGACATGTTAGCAATATTCCTTCGGCACAGTTTATTCTCGAATAATGAATGTGAAAAACGGTTCTACATGGCTTCTGAACTAGGGCCTATATAGGAGCATACGCCTTCTGCACGAATCTCGTATACTGCCATTTCCGAAGCACTTGAGACCAACGAGCGACTGTATAAATGCGGCTAATCTCGGGCATTTGTTGCGAGCTGCGCTGATCGGTGAAAGAAGCTGGCCGTCTTGCCCTACCCATGTGACCGTCTTACCCCATGGGGTGGGGTAAGACGGGTTTTTGCAAGGTTTTGCAAAAATAGCTGCAGTTTATTTGTTGAATCAGGTCTAAGTCTCATCTTCTGGCAAATGAAAGTAAAATGTCTGAAAAAGGTTTTCACCCAGTTTCCCGTTTCTATGATGTTTCTAACCGGCCGAAAAATGGCTCCAAAGTTAAGGTGCCCGTCTTACCCCACTTTCCCCTACCTACCCAATTAAGGTCCTAGGTCATTGGTTGACCTTCCAGGTCAGTTGAATGACCCAAAAGTCGGGAAAATCGGGACTTGCTATAACTTCGTAAAGTAAGGTTGGTATTTTTTTGGGGGGGGGAGTGGTACTGAATACTGATAACAAATTTCATTTTAGAGATTTATTCATGCATTTGGGCTGGTCTAGGTTAGGTCTAGGTCAGGTCAGATCAGCCAGTCCAGTAGGCATTCTGCCAGGCGTGCCAGCTATCCATAATAAGCGTCAACCACCACTTGACAGCTTCGTAACATGTTATGTAGGCACCAAAACTACTTCGTAAGTGTTGAAATGGGTGCTAAATTCGAAAAAAGCTCCTAGACTACTACCCTTGAAACATGTAAACTGAATAAAACGAAACAAGGTCACTCAATGTCAATGACCCTTCACCTGACCTTCATGTGACATTAACAGTTGACACCAGGGCTGCGGAGTCAGAGTCGGAGTCGATTTTAGAAACCCGAGCCGGACTCGGAGTCGGAGTCACCGAAAATCTGTCGACTCCGCAGCCCTGCTAGGTCTGCCGAGTCGGAGTCGGGAGTTGGAGTCGGTCGGAGTCGACAATTCTGCCCGGAGTCGGAGTCGGAGTCGGAGCTGGTTTTTGAAAGCCGGAGTCGGAGTCGCCGAAAATCCATCGACTCCGCAGCCCTGGTTGACACCCACAATAATAACGAGCCAACCATCATTTTATGTCAGGTTGCAGCATTAACAGCTGTAGAAAGGCTGGAAACACGCAAATAACGTGTGCTAACGTACGCGAAATCTCAATTCAGGCCTTATATGGTCTCGAGAAACAGGTCACAGGTAAAAGGTCATTTAGGACAGGGTCACGAAATTTTCAGGGTAGATGTAAAATCGATCAACTCGAAAGTACTGAAAGTTTCGTCGCGATTGGCCGCTTTTAACGCAATTTGGTTGAATTCTTTATTATATTTCGGTAAGTGGTGCGAAGTTAAGTGTTTTGAAACTGTTTTTGATGTAATTGGCCATCGAGAAGGAGAAATGATCATCAAAATTGTGTTTCTTTAAAGTAAAAAACTGAAGTTTTACAAACTATTCACTTTAAGCAAGACCCAGAACACAAATCCAACAAGAGCAAATAGCTATAGTAAGAAGAAGGCACTCCCCTCGACCACTACCAAAAATAGCCGCCAGACAAGCTTCCATTTATACTTACATCTTGATCCTTTCCTTTATTCTTAAAATTTTGCAATCTTGATTTAACATTTTCGTCAGAAGCCATCCTTCTCCACGGAATGAGCAACAAACAAGGGCAAGCTTTCACTGGAAACCAATATGTGTACTTCTTTCTTTGCCACAAATGCTGTGCATAACAACAAGCTCAGCAGATAGGTGGCACACGAAAACTATCACAATAGGTAGACCAAAAGTACCCCGCTTATGGCTTGCAGAACTGGTCCGCAAAACCTGCGTAGGGCAACAATAATGCTCTTATGAGGCACCGAGACAATTATGCAAGGAATTTTCACTAATGATGATCGATTAACGGCAAGATATCGCAATGAAATATGAAATGTGCAAACACCGTCGGAAACCGATGTAACGGAAGTTGGCACAGATTCAGCACAGATTCAGCACAGCACAGATTCGGTAGGGGGAAAAAAGGCCCCGGTAGAGGGAAACCTTTATGACCCGTTTTCCCCTTGAAATGACGTCACAAAGAGGTAAAAATGGGTATCAATCGAAAGCTCTCGCTTACCCAGACACAGTCCTGCAGGAAAATTTCACTTTTTCCCCATAGGAAAGTTTGTACGGGAAAATCAAAATTTTGGGTCAATGGGGGGTCCCCCCCGATTTCGTTCAAAATCGGCACACAGGTGCCCCACCACCAGCCGAGAAACTTTCCCCAAAACGGTCCCCGTTGCATTGACGTTTAAGGCCCGTAAAGCCCCCTAGACTCGTAAAATATCCGTAAAATCGCCTTTGTACGGACAAAAAAGTGGTGCTATGGTAAAAATGGGTATCAATCGAAAGCTCTCGTTTACCCAGACACAGTCCTGCAGGAAAATTTCACTTTTTCCCCATAGGAAAGTTTGTACGGGAAAATCAAAATTTTGGGTCAATGGGGGGTCCCCCCCGATTTCGTTCAAAATCGGCACACAGGTGCCCCACCACCAGCCGAGAAACTTTCCCCAAAACGGTCCCCGTTGCATTGACGTTTAAGGCCCGTAAAGCCCCCTAGACTCGTAAAATATCCGTAAAATCGCCTTTGTACGGACAAAAAAGTGGTGCTATGGTAAAAATGGGTATCAATCGAAAGCTCTCGTTTACCCAGACACAGTCCTGCAGGAAAATTTCACTTTTTCCCCATAGGAAAGTTTGTACGGGAAAATCAAAATTTTGGGTCAATGGGGGTCCCCCCGATTTCGTTCAAAATCGGCACACAGGTGCCCCACCACCAGCCGAGAAACTTTCCCCAAAACGGTCCCCGTTGCATTGACGTTTAAGGCCCGTAAAGCCCCCTAGACTCGTAAAATATCCGTAAAATCGCCTTTGTACGGACAAAAAAGTGGTGCTATGGTAAAAATGGGTATCAATCGAAAGCTCTCGTTTACCCAGACACAGTCCTGCAGGAAAATTTCACTTTTTCCCCATAGGAAAGTTTGTACGGGAAAATCAAAATTTTGGGTCAATGGGGGGTCCCCCCCGATTTCGTTCAAAATCGGCACACAGGTGCCCCACCACCAGCCGAGAAACTTTCCCCAAAACGGTCCCCGTTGCATTGACGTTTAAGGCCCGTAAAGCCCCCTAGACTCGTAAAATATCCGTAAAATCGCCTTTGTACGGACAAAAAAGTGGTGCTATGGTAAAAATGGGTATCAATCGAAAGCTCTCGTTTACCCAGACACAGTCCTGCAGGAAAATTTCACTTTTTCCCCATAGGAAAGTTTGTACGGGAAAATCAAAATTTTGGGTCAATGGGGGGTCCCCCCCCGATTTCGTTCAAAATCGGCACACAGGTGCCCCACCACCAGCCGAGAAACTTTCCCCAAAACGGTCCCCGTTGCATTGACGTTTAAGGCCCGTAAAGCCCCCTAGACTCGTAAAATATCCGTAAAATCGCCTTTGTACGGACAAAAAAGTGGTGCTATGGTAAAAATGGGTATCAATCGAAAGCTCTCGTTTACCCAGACACAGTCCTGCAGGAAAATTTCACTTTTTCCCCATAGGAAAGTTTGTACGGGAAAATCAAAATTTTGGGTCAATGGGGGTCCCCCCGATTTCGTTCAAAATCGGCACACAGGTGCCCCACCACCAGCCGAGAAACTTTCCCCAAAACGGTCCCCGTTGCATTGACGTTTAAGGCCCGTAAAGCCCCCTAGACTCGTAAAATATCCGTAAAATCGCCTTTGTACGGACAAAAAAGTGGTGCTATGGTAAAAATGGGTATCAATCGAAAGCTCTCGTTTACCCAGACACAGTCCTGCAGGAAAATTTCACTTTTTCCCCATAGGAAAGTTTGTACGGGAAAATCAAAATTTTGGGTCAATGGGGGGTCCCCCCCGATTTCGTTCAAAATCGGCACACAGGTGCCCCACCACCAGCCGAGAAACTTTCCCCAAAACGGTCCCCGTTGCATTGACGTTTAAGGCCCGTAAAGCCCCCTAGACTCGTAAAATATCCGTAAAATCGCCTTTGTACGGACAAAAAAGTGGTGCTATGGTAAAAATGGGTATCAATCGAAAGCTCTCGTTTACCCAGACACAGTCCTGCAGGAAAATTTCACTTTTTCCCCATAGGAAAGTTTGTACGGGAAAATCAAAATTTTGGGTCAATGGGGGGTCCCCCCGATTTCGTTCAAAATCGGCACACAGGTGCCCCACCACCAGCCGAGAAACTTTCCCCAAAACGGTCCCCGTTGCATTGACGTTTAAGGCCCGTAAAGCCCCCTAGACTCGTAAAATATCCGTAAAATCGCCTTTGTACGGACAAAAAAGTGGTGCTATGGTAAAAATGGGTATCAATCGAAAGCTCTCGTTTACCCAGACACAGTCCTGCAGGAAAATTTCACTTTTTCCCCATAGGAAAGTTTGTACGGGAAAATCAAAATTTTGGGTCAATGGGGGGTCCCCCCGATTTCGTTCAAAATCGGCACACAGGTGCCCCACCACCAGCCGAGAAACTTTCCCCAAAACGGTCCCCGTTGCATTGACGTTTAAGGCCCGTAAAGCCCCCTAGACTCGTAAAATATCCGTAAAATCGCCTTTGTACGGACAAAAAAGTGGTGCTATGGTAAAAATGGGTATCAATCGAAAGCTCTCGTTTACCCAGACACAGTCCTGCAGGAAAATTTCACTTTTTCCCCATAGGAAAGTTTGTACGGGAAAATCAAAATTTTGGGTCAATGGGGGGTCCCCCCGATTTCGTTCAAAATCGGCACACAGGTGCCCCACCACCAGCCGAGAAACTTTCCCCAAAACGGTCCCCGTTGCATTGACGTTTAAGGCCCGTAAAGCCCCCTAGACTCGTAAAATATCCGTAAAATCGCCTTTGTACGGACAAAAAAGTGGTGCTATGGTAAAAATGGGTATCAATCGAAAGCTCTCGTTTACCCAGACACAGTCCTGCAGGAAAATTTCACTTTTTCCCCATAGGAAAGTTTGTACGGGAAAATCAAAATTTTGGGTCAATGGGGGGTCCCCCCCGATTTCGTTCAAAATCGGCACACAGGTGCCCCACCACCAGCCGAGAAACTTTCCCCAAAACGGTCCCCGTTGCATTGACGTTTAAGGCCCGTAAAGCCCCCTAGACTCGTAAAATATCCGTAAAATCGCCTTTGTACGGACAAAAAAGTGGTGCTATGGTAAAAATGGGTATCAATCGAAAGCTCTCGTTTACCCAGACACAGTCCTGCAGGAAAATTTCACTTTTTCCCCATAGGAAAGTTTGTACGGGAAAATCAAAATTTTGGGTCAATGGGGGGTCCCCCCCGATTTCGTTCAAAATCGGCACACAGGTGCCCCACCACCAGCCGAGAAACTTTCCCCAAAACGGTCCCCGTTGCATTGACGTTTAAGGCCCGTAAAGCCCCCTAGACTCGTAAAATATCCGTAAAATCGCCTTTGTACGGACAAAAAAGTGGTGCTATGGTAAAAATGGGTATCAATCGAAAGCTCTCGTTTACCCAGACACAGTCCTGCAGGAAAATTTCACTTTTTCCCCATAGGAAAGTTTGTACGGGAAAATCAAAATTTTGGGTCAATGGGGGGTCCCCCCCGATTTCGTTCAAAATCGGCACACAGGTGCCCCACCACCAGCCGAGAAACTTTCCCCAAAACGGTCCCCGTTGCATTGACGTTTAAGGCCCGTAAAGCCCCCTAGACTCGTAAAATATCCGTAAAATCGCCTTTGTACGGACAAAAAAGTGGTGCTATGGTAAAAATGGGTATCAATCGAAAGCTCTCGTTTACCCAGACACAGTCCTGCAGGAAAATTTCACTTTTTCCCCATAGGAAAGTTTGTACGGGAAAATCAAAATTTTGGGTCAATGGGGGGTCCCCCCCGATTTCGTTCAAAATCGGCACACAGGTGCCCCACCACCAGCCGAGAAACTTTCCCCAAAACGGTCCCCGTTGCATTGACGTTTAAGGCCCGTAAAGCCCCCTAGACTCGTAAAATATCCGTAAAATCGCCTTTGTACGGACAAAAAAGTGGTGCTATGGTAAAAATGGGTATCAATCGAAAGCTCTCGTTTACCCAGACACAGTCCTGCAGGAAAATTTCACTTTTTCCCCATAGGAAAGTTTGTACGGGAAAATCAAAATTTTGGGTCAATGGGGGGTCCCCCCCGATTTCGTTCAAAATCGGCACACAGGTGCCCCACCACCAGCCGAGAAACTTTCCCCAAAACGGTCCCCGTTGCATTGACGTTTAAGGCCCGTAAAGCCCCCTAGACTCGTAAAATATCCGTAAAATCGCCTTTGTACGGACAAAAAAGTGGTGCTATGGTAAAAATGGGTATCAATCGAAAGCTCTCGTTTACCCAGACACAGTCCTGCAGGAAAATTTCACTTTTTCCCCATAGGAAAGTTTGTACGGGAAAATCAAAATTTTGGGTCAATGGGGGGTCCCCCCCGATTTCGTTCAAAATCGGCACACAGGTGCCCCACCACCAGCCGAGAAACTTTCCCCAAAACGGTCCCCGTTGCATTGACGTTTAAGGCCCGTAAAGCCCCCTAGACTCGTAAAATATCCGTAAAATCGCCTTTGTACGGACAAAAAAGTGGTGCTATGGTAAAAATGGGTATCAATCGAAAGCTCTCGTTTACCCAGACACAGTCCTGCAGGAAAATTTCACTTTTTCCCCATAGGAAAGTTTGTACGGGAAAATCAAAATTTTGGGTCAATGGGGGGTCCCCCCCGATTTCGTTCAAAATCGGCACACAGGTGCCCCACCACCAGCCGAGAAACTTTCCCCAAAACGGTCCCCGTTGCATTGACGTTTAAGGCCCGTAAAGCCCCCTAGACTCGTAAAATATCCGTAAAATCGCCTTTGTACGGACAAAAAAGTGGTGCTATGGTAAAAATGGGTATCAATCGAAAGCTCTCGTTTACCCAGACACAGTCCTGCAG